AATACCAGAAGTCGGTACTTCATCATGAAATACGATTATACATTTCCATGTAAATATTCAGGTAATCCTGTCACACAGTAGCGACAGGATTTTCGATGTAGTCATCGTATACGTGTCGTTATGACTGAGGGCTGAAGTATTCTTGTATAAATATTAGGAATTTTTGGCATTATATAGTAGCGCCATAAATACCGACTTCTACTAAATTTATGTTATATGAGCTCGTTGATTTTGTCATTGTATGTTTCACTTACACCGCAATATCACAATCATCCATCTCAATCCATCATTCCGATCGTCTCATGCCTTGTGATTAATGTCATCAAGTTCTCTCTGGCTGCTTTTATCATTGGTGGCATTTCACGTTATTGTGTGTCCTGTGCCTGAGCAAATGGCGTTTAATTCATCTTAATTAAATTAAATTAATGTTCTGCCCGATTGTTTGGCTAGTAATACTTGTAAATTATTCCAACAAAATTTGACTTCAATAATATCTACGATATTGGATAAATAATGGAATGCTTGTGCATTTTTTTTTACATTTTTTTACACATCACAAGTCCAGATCGATTTCCTTCTCACTACGCAACTCCCATCTTCTTATCATCCAGTTCAATTACCAAATGTCTCGCGTTGTAGTTGTCAATTTTTGTAATTTCCTTAAATTGACAATGTCATATGCCACGAAGGCCTTCTGATATTTATGTCCTGTCACGTTAGGAAATATTACTCTTATCTCTATACGCACTAAAATCTGTGCATGACCAGTGTCTCTACATAAATAGAAAGATTGTCCAAGAGCGAATTTCTAATAATTCAGCAATTGGTTTCAATAGCTTCTACGCCAGGTCGGCCATAACTTTTGTACTCGTCGAAGGCCGAGGCGTGAGATTTGTTGAGTTTAGCACAAGGTGTGATTTTGGACACCCTTTGCACAAAAGGAATTAGAAATCCCCCTCTCTTTCAGGCGGCTCAGATTTCTTTGCTCCAGTAAAATTAATCAATTTCACCTCCAGACGACTTGAGTACAGACTTTGTCGCTTGTTGAAGCCAATTTGCGCACTTGAGTTTGCAGTTTGCGTGCTACGAATTTTTATTCAAGTCTGCAGAGTTTTAACTTTCGAAATTGCATAGTTGCTGATATTGTTTGTGATATATTTATATACGGCTGCACATCGCCGTACTTGATGGCTTTGGATATGAGAACGCAGTGCATGCAAAACTGGAGATAGAGGAAGACGAAGAAGAACGCTAAATCCCGGAAATTAAACGTCAGTTTTCATCATCGTAGAGGTTCTCTTTGCTTCGTCCCTGTCTGGTCTCATCTTCCCCTCTTGTCCAGCGGACCTGAAAGTGAGGAATATTATGGGATACGTTACGTATATACCGCTTGGAGTATGGTTCCCTTCTCCCAAATCACTTTCACCCTGTGTCTGTGTTCTGCTTTGGAGTTCTTGTATGCACTAGGCCACGCTACATGCATGGAACTACATACGTATTTCTCTATCAGTGGAGCCTCTGCAGCTTTTTTGTACTTTCCAAGCAAGAAATAGTGTTACAATCGGTTCTAACAAGAAAGGAATTGGATGGAAGAGTACCTTTGGTTGGTAATCCGGATTCGTACTTGGATTATAGAAGGGTTAGTATTCAGAGTAAAGCTGTCTGTTTGAATAGAGTAGATGGGAAGGAGACGAGGACAGGACGAGGAAACAGAAGCAGGAGGGGTGGGTAGCGGAAGTTTTTTGTTGTTAGAAAATAGCAGCTCCGTACCAAAACTGCAGCTTCTTTCCTGATCTGTTCTTTCTCTCCTTTCTCTTCTGACTGAAATGTGTCTCCGGAATAATTACCCTTCTTGTGGATGAGCAGATCAAGTCGGATTTACGAGAGGAATCGTATATTTGTTTTCCTTTCCATAACATGACTGCTATGCCCAAAGCTGGCTGTATTTCTGGCTAGAGCGAAGTAGAAATGTTCGAAAGTCTTGTGACAAATTTCTTAGCAAAACAAGTTTCAGAAATTTTATAACGAAATAGAAAATGTTATGTTGAAATTGACTCTCTTAGTATTTTGCAGACGTGTGTATTCTAATTCCTTCCTGCTCAATTTTATTTGAAATAAAGCTGAAAAACTGCGATACACATACCTACGTATTGTGTGCATGGGCAGTGTCAATCTTATCACTATACTCACACACGTGTCACATTGTGCGGTTATCGTTTCCCAGTGGAATGAATTTTGGCGGATAGGACACGACACAATTCCATTCGTACTTTAGATATTGATCGAAGCGCACTGTTTGGTTCTCCTCGGAGGACTTTTACCGCTTTCTCAGACCAGACCAGGCCAATTGTGCCATTGTGCTACTCAAATATCGGGGAAAGTTTGGCAAGGAGTTTTCACTTGGGCAATGAAGCAAACCAATCGACAATCAACAACATTGAATACTCATCCACTACGTCCAAGATATTTCCTGAAATCATTGTGAAAGTGGATTGGTTATTTTCATCCCTGGCTCTTGGATAAGTAGAATTGAGAGCTATTTCTCCGCTTTTATTTGTGCGGGTGAAAGTGGGAGCAGCAGTAGTTTACCAATTCTGCATTCTCCTTCTTCCCGGTGAAAGTAGTCATGTGTGGTAACTGCACAACATAAATAGATTCCAAATTCTCAGATGTTGCAATGCAGCCCAACAACTTTTCCTATTCGGTTATGTATTGTGCCCTGTCGTATTGATAGTGATATTACTGCTGGATGAAAAGAATGGTCATAAAGCAGTTGATAATAGTGGCGAGTGGATGAAAAATGCGGCCTTTGAATGTTGCGCGATGCTCAAAGAAAGTACAAAAGTAATGTAAATAAATTGTGGCATTTAGTCCATCTGTCGATGTTATGCAACTTGCATCATTTGTTATAGGCTAAGGCTATCCCCCTTCTTCTCCTTGTATCGTAACCTCTGCGATTCTTTCGGCTCCTGCTGCTGAATAAAGCTGAGAGTGAGTTGTGAGCACTTCAAGTATACAACAATTTCTATTCAATTTGGTGCTTTGACTTTCACTTTTCTCAAGGCATGCTTTCCCCTCATTGTTGTTTGTGTTATATAGTACTTCATGTATTTGTTACGTAAATAAATGCTCTGAAAATGAACAATTATAAATATTTACACGCTGGATAGTCGAATTATAGATACTCAATTCAGATTGTTCTAACATGGGAATGGAATCGCTAATGTGTACATATGCAAGATTGAATTAAAGATGAAACTATGCTATAAAATCGTATTGAAGCCATTAGATATTCTGTTTTCGCCTTATTCTTCCGTGAATTTGTGTCTAAAATATGCCATTTTACATAAACCAAAGCTTTATTTTGAAAAAGTAAGAAAATTGTGGTTTGATGTATAAATTGAAATATCCATCAGATACGTACGTTCGTAGGTACATTTGTACGTAGCAGCGTGCGATGATTTCATTCTCCGAGTAGCCTGCGGTTATAGGTTGCAGGAAATGCGGGTGGAAGCGACAAATTTATCTCGTTATCGCCAGTAGTCTGGTCCAGATGGAAAGTGCAAATTTTGATACGAAATGGAATGGAATGAGATACATTTATACGCAAATCCTCCCAGGCATGAAACTGGAAATGTCTAAGTGAGTACTACTATTTTTTTGTCGTGCTCACTGCGTCACTTAAAATTGTACGCCTAAAATCTTTTATATTCGCATAATCTTGAATTTCGTGTCCCTGAAGTGCGTAGGTTTCTTTTTATTACATAAATGGCGTCATATCTATGTACAGATATTCTTCTACATTTAACAAAAACTGTCAAAAAGGATTATAGCCTTGTATCTGATGACCCAGTCTTCCTCAATGTGTGCGTGGTTGGTTAGGTAAATAAACGATTCGTATACATTATTGCAAACCAAGTCCTACATCTCTGATCGTATCGAGGAGTGAAACCCAATTATTTTGCAAGGTTTGAGTAGAATTTGAATAGATTCCGAAGCGTAGATGCCATTCAGACTGAAATACAACATTGCGAACCAATTGTTTCAATGTTCCACATTGAGGAACGAGTTATTAGGGTATGTAGCTGCGGCAGTGGTGTCTTGTCATTCCCACTCTTGAACCGTCGAATTGCGGTGAGGTTGTGATTGTTTCATTGTGTTTTAGTAGTTGAGCACTGTCCACTTGGTTTCATATTTGTCCTCGTTCATTTCCTATCCAATTCCTATCAGGATGGAAGCAGAATATCAATCAACGGTTCAAATCATCCACTTGGAAAAGAGTGGAAGGCAGGCGGACCGCAAACAACGCCATGGTTGACCGTCACAATGAATGAATTGGCGACAGACAGAGAAAAAGGACAAAGTTCTGCTTCACACACATTTCAGTCGTATAAAATGAAGGATTCTACAAACCAACCACAATCATGGGCATAGAGAGCATCAAAGGAAATTCCTTTGTGTATTTTATCGTCCCCAATGTCCATTTTGTGGTAATTTGATTGAGCACCTCCGCTTTTCTCTGCTGGCTGCGTCTCCAAGTCCAAAAGTAATTTCCATTCTACTCAGAAAACAGGGACAAATGGGGTGGCATGTATATATTCAGTCGTGGCAACCTTTTCAAAGTTTGTTCGCAATCGTCTCATTTATTTTGCTCACGAGCTCACGAGCAGTTTTATCACCTCGCCTCCTTCTCTAAAATTAGTTGCACTTCTCAAATTTTGCCCAGTTCGGCATAAAAATATTAATGCAACCCAAGTTAATTCATTTCATGTACACACATATCATATGCATGCATAAATGTTTCTCCAATCTGTCGCCGCAGTAAATAACAACAAGTAAACATTTTACATAACAATAAGGTAGCACGTACACATTAATATTGTTTCGTATACTTATTTGTATTCTGTGTATGTACGAATTCATGTGGACAGTAAAATTGAATGAAATTCATGGTTTGGTAATTTACTAAATTAAGTTTTATTGTTTTTTTTGTGTTGCAGGTAAGGAATTTGTGGTAGGATCAACTCCGCAATAATGCCGACAGGATTTACTGAAGGCTATATCCAATTACAACCAAAATACTCAATGGCAGCTCCTGGTGCTGGTGACCATCAAATTATAAACTTGCTTATACATACATACATTTATTCTTTCTGCAAAATTCGCATCAAACTTTATTCACAAAAATATCAAAATATTTTTACATATCTAACGATAAGTAGTATTTTCGCATTAAGTAACAACTCACTTGATATTTACATGTTGTAAATATAAGAAACCGGTTCCCGAAACAAAAATCATTTTCATTCATCAAAAGATTTTTAAGTAGTAATTTATAGATAGTTTTAAATTTTCCTACAATATTAAAATCAGAATTTTGGCCAGTCACGTGTACAAAACTGAATAGCTAAATTCAAGGCGACAGTTCTTGTCTTATCCTTTTTTTAATGAAGCTCGAGGATGCACTTTCAAAAAAGCTTTGACTTGTCTTTAAGCAAAATGTAGTTTGACACATACCGGTCACTACTTTAGCATAACAATAAAATGCAATGTTTTGAACAAGGGATAATAAATTTTGTCATGTTTAATGGACACGGCGTATTAAATTTCAGAATTTAAAAATTTGTCTTTCAATGCAATTAAAATCACAGTCGGATGTCACAAGAAAAAAAGTAATTATTATGCAATCAACAATACATTGATTCGTTTATATGGTTTGTTGTTAATGCATACATACAATCAAAATATTATTGTTAATAGACTTCTCTTTGGACATATGTATGTAATAGCTCGCCATTTATTTTCATTTGCCTTATGCATATATATTTCGCTGTTAAGATTGCAGGTAAAAGTCACTATGAAAGTAAAATAATCAAATTCTTGGTATTTCTTGAAGGCAGATAAGTTTAGAAACAACTGGGATGCAATAATATGCTAGATGCAGTTAAAATCTTTATCAAAATCCTATTAGGATTCTCTTCATGGGTGGCACTACTTTGTTACCATTGGGTTAATGCAAGTGAGGATGAGTCAGTTTCTTTCTTTGCTCACCATGCATATTTGCCAACCACTGCGCCAAGTTATTAAGCAACTTCATGCCTGATTACTTTCTCAGGACAAGAACACCCCCAAACAGTGATTCGTCGTGAATGCAATAAGATTATGTAGTTATCCATCCATTATTCGTATTCCAATTGCACTTTCAGCCAAAGACGACCACACTGGACCAAGGCATTTATTAAACCCACTGCGGAGAATCACGCTTTGAGTCGTGTTATTTCTCAATACAATCAGGAATAATTTAACAATTTATCAACATGTTTTTGTTAATTATTTCGTAAATGAGGGTACTGAAGTGAATTTAATGTAATCATTAGATTAGACATTTGAGCTGTTGATTAATTGGAACGGCCCGTCCCGTTTATGACTCTCGTCGTCTCTCTTCCTATCCCACGAACTTCTGTTTGTTCAAGGAATTTCTCAAAGTAGAACCGGATTTTTTTAGTAGAACCAGCTTTTTATTGATGATAAAAATTTCCACTGTGGATCTTGCTCTCTGAGCTGCGGACAGTTTCAACCAAGGCAATACAATTGCATTCGGGGTCGTAAAATCCAGATGGTATAAACCAAATCGTTTTACAACTTCATTTTCGTTTCGGCTTGGCAGTGTAGTTACTAATTGAGATGCTGGCAACATCTCCGTTAAGGATATGAAATTAATCTTGTACCAACTAAAGTATTGTTGCCAATTTATTTTGCAGGGAATGTCTTATACGTACATACATATGCGTATTTAACTTCATAGTTCTGAGTGCTTTAACTCACTACCCATTTCGTGCTATTTATTAATTGATATTGTCCATAAATCGGCAAACAAAAATGTTTTATATATTCATTAGTATTTTCCATCCTCATGATTACTCATCATGGTTTGGTGTGTTGTTTGAACGGTATCGGTGGACATTTTCAATTATTTATGAAACTGCAAACTTTCAGGTACATACAATCTGAACTTTTCATCAGACTCATTTTTTCAAAATAATCCTTTAGACGACAGCTAAGTGTTCTTAATTAAAAACTGCTGCTGTGCATAATAGCCAAAAAATCCTAAGTTAAAAAATCCAGGGGACTACGTTGTTTGTTGCATAATGACATCCCAATAGTGCCACAATTAATGGATACCTCTTCTTTGGCATGGTGCCCTATACGTAGAACGATAAAGTGTCAAGTAATATTGAAATAGTTCATACTCTTCATTACAAGCATTTGCATGTATTTTCACCAATTTGAATAATACTATGCATAATAAGATTTAAGTATGTTGTCATGTAGAAATGTTGTCCACAATTGGAAATGCATCCTACTGGTACTGATTACCTATAGATGCACCGCAAAAAATCGTTTTCGGAAGGAAGTTGGATGTGTAGGTGTCGTATTTTCTTCTTATGAAACCGCAATAAATCTTGCTCAATTCCATATCCAATTCTGCAAATGTCAATGGTGAAATAGCTTACTTCAGCATTCTTCCATCTAGTACAATAGCACCTCATTTATATGCTAATGGGATCCATTGTAACCAGGTATGTGTACCAGTAAGGATCCACGCAGTCAAGGAAGATGAACCGCACCGCACCAAGCTTAAACCCCATATTTGTCTGCTTTTATTCAAATGATTTCATTTAAATTAGAATAGCCGTCAGCCACCCGAGTGAGTCAAAGGTTTACTTTTTTACTGACCAGTTGCTTGGGCTGGGAGGACGCGTCATAATATCGCAATCAACAGTTAGAGACACAAATAATGAAATGGTCGCAACCAGTCCGCTCCGTAGTTGTCCGTCGCCATTTCTTTATAAGGTTATTGACAGCCGTTTTGGATGTCAGACGGAGTGGAGGAGCATCCTCATTGCATTTCAATGTCTCTGCATTCCAGCAACTTGTTCAACAATTTTCGATAATAAATGAATTAATTACAAACACTCGTTCCTTATCGTAAACCAGCCTTTATTGGACGAGGTTATCAAGGAATATATTTGTAAGGCCCATTCAAGGCTTCGGTTTAATGGCCACTTCCCATTTGTTGGTGGTGATAGGTATTCTTGTTTGAACAAACGTGAACTCTGCTGATTTGTATCCTAATAAAGTCCAACGAGTTTTAGCCCGTTGCGAGATGCAATGGTGAATGCGATTGTTGGTGTTTGTGAGATTTTATTCTTTTATCTTTCTTGCAGAATTTTTGGGTGTGGATGGAACAGAGGGCAATTTGACTCTGTTTAAATTACGACGACACTTTGCATGTTTCTTAAGCTGACATTTATGACTCCTGTCTACTGGTTTTTGATGTGTTTGATGACCACATTGTACAAATTTGATTCGCATGCATGGCCAAATATGGGGACATGCTCCGTGTTTATCCTAACCAATTACTCAATTTTACACATTGGACACCATCAAATTACCAAATTCTACAAAATATATGTAATTAAAGATGGTATCGCATTTATTCGTATCTTAATGTTTTTATCAGGGCGATTTGTGTTGCTGGAGGGAATTTCCAGCCACCCATTTATCACTTTTCTTTTTGTTCTATACAAAGCAGATCCATATCATGAATCCCGCAAAGGTTATGCTCGTTCACATTTCAAACTTTGTAAGTGGAGCTATCATCTCACAAAATCAGTTTGACATGATTTAGATTTGCCCATAAACGATAAAAGATACGAAAAGTGTGTGGTTCCTTAGTTTGCAAAGAAACTAATTTCATTATGATTGACGCATTTATATCCATCTGTCATTTCGCCTCTGCAACTGATATTGTCACAATTCGCGTCACAATCCTCGACGTACATATTTTTTGCATGATCCACACTACTGTTGCTACTTCCACTGGTGTTTTCATTATAAAAAACAAGAACTCTATTTGATGTATTTTATTTGCGAGGTTTATGTCATGGCTAATTTACTAAATGGCTTAATTATTGTTCCCAGAAGATTTTGTCTTTAGAATTTGTACTTGCATTGTGGTTGGGACAAACTTTTGTCGCCTGTGGAGCTGTACCAAGTCTGCCAAAGATAGAAACATGCAGCAACTTGTGTCGAGACTACTTTTACATTACCAATACAACATCGTTGTAAAGTTGCACGCTAGTTAACAAATAAATCCATCGGGAGTTAGAATTCCCCAGGAATGCATTCTTCATCCATTTTTTAAGAGAATTACGCCGAATTGTATGTGCCTACTCGTACATGCATATACGCGCATTCATGCACAATTAAGGTTCAAGTAAGGTACACGCATATTTATTACGTGAGTGGATTATTTGTTTGAATGGCTGTGGTGCAGTATTCCAGCTGCACCTAGGAAATGAAATGACTGCCTTGACACGAGTGTGAGTGGGATCGATTAAGATGTCTCGGAAAGCATGCGAGATTAATGTGTCTGTCGTAAACAAATAGGAGAACGTTCCTGTGCGTGTTGCAAGAAGGATTGCTGCTGCATCTCAGGATGAGAAGATGAACTTCACCTCGAAGCAATGCCACTCAATGTAAATGGGATCAGTGTCATGTCAATTTAAGAAATACTTATTATTTTTTCCCTATAAAGTCAGTAAAACGATATAAACAATTATGCTGGATTATTATATTATGGACATCCGTTCGTTTGTGTGAGCGAATTTAAATGGTTTAACATTTTCACCTCCAATGGTTCTTCTCTTTCTGGAGCCAAATTAACTATAAGCGGAACTGTTCACTTGAAGAGAATTCCAGCATTAGTCGCTTACTCCCATTCGCGAGGAAACTAAAGTGGAGAGAGAAAAACGAGGAAAAGTGAAACATCGAGATCATTAATCTTCATAAGGAATCGCCATGTTCCTCCAGCGAATAGCAGAAATTTTATCATAATATTTCACACACTACAACATTTCGGATCCAGTCGTCTCATGTTTTCCCACGTTGAACTCTTTCTTGCTATGGCTCACATCTCCGTAACAGCGTTTGACTAAAGCTCCAAGATAGCTAAAGCTCAAATCCAGATTTGAGGTTTGATTAGTTTATGGTGCGATCTTTTTTATTATGAACCGCATGACCTGGATATCTTAACTTTGGTCCATGCTATTCCGGGTATTGTTACTAAATATCCATCCAATTGTGGTAATAATGTCGTTTAAATTGCTAGGTCAATTGTGCGACATAATAAAGACATAATCTCATTTTGCCCACAATCACGCAGTTTTCTGTTTCGGTGATGTTCATGGAGTTTTAGTGTCCAACAAGACTGGTTGTTGTATAAGGAGTCCACACAGTGTCGGAGACTTGAGTGTTGTGTAACTGTACTTTCGCCAAGGATGAATGAACGAGCGCCGTATAACGATAAAGTACTTTACGTTGCTCGCATTCGCACAGAAGTTTTTTCATCTGCAATCTTTCCCATAATTTTTCATACTTAGTATCTGACAGGTAAAATGTGTGCGTGATATGTTCCATCCATAGTTGTGCCTACATACGTAAAAGCATAGATGACTGATAAGTCAACTGTTAGTGTAACAATTTTCTACAAGAAATCGCGGGTCATTTGCGCAGTCTGGTGGTGAAATTTAGGATATGACACGACAATCCATGATTTGAGACCAGTTGCTCACTCGGATCAAAACCAAGTCCAAATCAAGTATTTCTTTTCGGGGGTCACGAAACTTCGATAAGTTGTTACGTAAGTTGCCCGGCTGGCTGACAGTTTGCCATGCTTTGTTGAAAGCACAAGTGCATACGCCTACTCATTCCTGGCCAAGAGCTTTCACTTTCGCAGCAGAAGCAGCAATTGTTCTGGCACCTGGCACCAAACCGACAAAGTAGTATAAACAATGTGGGTCATGCATAAGAACGGCAAAAACTTTCAAACAACAGTAAACAATAATGTTCATAAATTTAGATTGCTCATTGTTCTGATTGTGTTGCTTAATTTCAACCTTGTCACCACATAAAATTTAAGTGTTTGTGAGGGAACTTTGCTCATTAGGCTTAACTCAGTGAACCAATCAGTTCACTTGCTCCACGTAATTTAGCAATATTAAGAAATCAATTCAAGGTAATTTGCCAGTTGAAGGAAGGGATATGTTTATGCGTTCTTACAAATAAGCATATTCTCTTAATCGCGCTTTCTCAAAGGCTGATTGGTTATGTTTTACGACGATCTTAGAGCAATCGTTGAAAACTTTTCGTTTCGCATTCATTCAATAACTCCATAGACCAGTCTTACCAATAAGGATTACGTTATAAGCATGAAAGGGAGGACAGTATTTCTGAGTCTGTTCTTCGTACTTTCAATTCCAAAAGTAAGTTAATAATCTCGGTTAATTATATTTATTTTCAAACTTTGTTTGACATATACAAAAGTGGGGTTAATATCGTAGGACATAGGAGCAGATTCCTACTCTGAATTTCTTGGTAGACTTGGACTGTCTCAAGAAGAGGAAAATTTGCCAGAAGGACTTCTCGACACCGTTAAACTCGTGGCGTCCTATTTCGATAAAGGACGACGAGAAGTACTTTAATTTATTTTTGAAAATATATTTCTCACAATTTTTTAAAAACTTTGCGGTAATTCCAATATTTAATTCTGCCGAAAAAGGCGAATGAAGGCGACTGGAAAGACGAACAACAAAAGTGGTTGCAACGAGGGGAAGATATTAAATCATACACGAAGGATACATTGACAGCATTTTTTGAGAAAGTAGGCAAGGACCCAATCGAATATATTAGTGTTTTGCTGGACGTCCCCATTAATATTGTGTCCAGCCTGATTGAAAAGGCCCCTTGGTCAGACTGGAAGAAACTTTTTGAAATTTACTCAAAAAACCCAGCTTTGCTTCGAAGAGTTGCTCGAGTCAACAAGGAAAGGATATTTTTCTTCTATTCCATCGTCGGTGACACAAACGAGCTCAAGACCAATATTAAGAATTTCTTAGAGTATGCGACTATATTCGACAGCATTCGCGAATTCTTGAGTGTTTTAATACAAGACGACGTGGTTGATTCGACCGCACCTGATCCTCCTGCTCACCTCAAGAATGTGAAAGCTGGAAAGTCGGCTGCAAAATCCAATGATAAAAATAAAGTCGAGCTGTAAAGCACATAAATCCACCTCCGTATTAGTTATTGAAGTCTATAATTTCATCAGAAAATTATGTCATTATTTTTTGTCCAAAGTCAAATGTATAAAAGTTCGAATTTTTATTTAAACTACAAAGAACTCAACATGGTATTGCAAAAATATCTGTCTTATTGATATAATCCTGGCTGTTGCATATTATGATTTTAGGAGGGAGTCAATCAGAGTAAAATATGGCAATATGCAACTTACGGAATTACGGAATAATTTGCTCCGTGGGTGCATAAATAAATTTGTTCTCTTGCCACCATCATCTAAACTGTTTCTACATACACAGTAATCTCCTTCACGCTCAGATGTGGACATGTCGTGTCACCGTTCTCGCCGTAACATCTCTGCTTTTTTCTTTGTCATCCTTCTTGTATTTTGGCCCAAAAATTCGAGTTATTTTTCACTCCTTGTCTTGTTTCAATTGCCGAACTTGAACTCAATTGAGATGCTCACTTTGAAATTTTCATGTGTAAATCAGAAATAATAGGATCCAGTTCAAAGCGTGCAAAACAATGTCTCTGTCATAATCTTCGATGCTCACGACAACACTTTCATGTTCGTCCTGAGCGAGGAAGACGCCTTATAAATAAATTCATGATCCCAGTTTAACTGGCCATTTCTTCGTGGAAATTTAGGCGAATAACTGACTTGGCAAAATTCGGTGATGCTATTGCTTAAATTAGGAATTAACGACATCACGACATTTTGCTATGCTTGAGGAATCAAAACGATATTTATTTCCTCTGTGTAAGGGCATAATCATGATCACGTCATTTCGTACGATGCATACATATTTCAGGAACTTACTAACGGATGTGTCACGCATAGTTTTCGTAGAGGGATTTCTAATGTGCATGCAGTTTCGTTCTGTCTGTATCGAAAGTCCAGTTATTTTATATTAATGTTAATATGTGCTCAAATTCAGATTGGGCAGCTACAGTTGGAACGTTCAGACTTGATGATGGTGATAAATGTTTAATTCTAAACGGAAATTGCTTATTTCTCGTGTATTCCATATTCAGACGACTAACGATTATTGAGCTAGATTTACATACACATTGTCAAATATGGCACAAGAGCCCGTTACTATCAGTTTTTTAGGGAGTTATAAATCCCATCGTATAAGATCTGTACAGATTACTGGCTCTGTATACATACAAATGCACACATAAACATGTATATATGTCAGAGATTGGGCATAATTTTGAAAAGTGACAATTTATTGTAACAATAAGATACCTTTGTCTTACTGATCCCGTGTGATTAGAGAGCAGATAAAGTTTCATGTTTCAGCTAAATTTTGGGCCGTACTTGACGAATTCAAATATTCGATTACGTTTCCTCTACATGATAAATAAATTCAATTTGATCGTCCAACTCTCATGTGTCAAGGAGGTGGGCATTATTTCCTCGTAGAGCGTGAATGCATATGCTGACTTGACAAGACAAGGTATGAGAATCTAATATTCTCGTGATGGCAAGCGAATCAGATTTCATCAGAAATTAATTATGGTAATTCACAAATTCTACAAGAAACAGCGACACGAGCATGAGCCACCTTTGCGGGTTTATTTTATTATGACAATTCGATATGACAATTCCCCCAGGACTTCACAGCTTGGCACAAACAATTTGCAACTTTGGTGCCGTGCTGTGAGCCTCTTGTTCCTGTAAACCTGTTGTGTTCTGCTTTCCCAAGTAATCTAACACCTTCTCATACACCTACATCCGCACAAAAGAGCGCTTTTTGTACGCTTCCATAAAATGAACAAACTTTGTGCCGACGCGACTTTTGGGTTTTTAAAAAAGTGTGAAAGGCACACAGTCCGTATTGTGCCATAGACTGCATATACAACAGGGTCTGAATTTGAATTCAATGCTGTTAACCATAAAGACTGCACTTTATGCAATAATGGAAAATCAAGATTGGAACTGTACTTTTGTAAATTAGATCTTAAATACACATTCCATTTTGATATTTTTTAAGGTTTGGACGATATATGTACAATACATGTGCGATTTGCAAAGTATGAGAAAGGCTAAAAATGAGAATCGCAAAGAGAGCTTCGATATGCATCGTAAGAAGTGCAGGCATATACATCCATAAGAATGCGTGATGGTGGTGGTCGTGACCCGAAATGCATAACTTCGGTGCCTTCGTACCTCATTAGCTTTTCTTAAATTCTTGCACACTTCTGAACACATAGTTGTCTTGCTTGTTTATAAATTGTCACCCTGTCTGCGAAGGAGATGGTGTGTGAGCGAATGTCGAGTGGAAGGTTCATGTGGAAGATGTCCATGGAAGATTAGCCCTCTTCTCTCATGGCATAGTTGGTTTCATTGCTCTTGACGTGAGTCCTCGTTCTCCTCTTATTTTAGACCAAATTTGAATGTCGAATTGTAGGCAGGAATGTATGGGAGCAGGGATTGAAGAAATAGGGTTCTTCTCACACAGCTACACATTACTACGCCTTGTTACTTAAGTAATATTTATCGTGGTGGAGTCCCTTATGTGCATGGGGAAGGTTGTCTCCCTTTAAAAAATTCTCTTAAAATGCACATCTGAGAATCCTCGAGTGTTTTGTTCCGCTCGATAACCCTTTTGAAGAGGATGGGAAGGAGCGTCACATGAAATGAGGGTTTATTGCTATTCAGAGATCTCCAATTGCAACATTTTCCATAATTGCTCCGTAAAGTCTTCATTCTTCCTTGTTACACCCGAGAGATTCTTTATATTTCAAATTTTATAGCCCTGTATAATCAATCCCTACGCCGTTCTAAACAAGGGAAAGTGTATCTTGGGCCATTGAGAATTTCGAAGGTACGATAGAGTCCACGGTGGTGTTTGATGGTGTCTTTGATGAGATCCTTGCAGATAACTGTGGTAGGTAAAGTGACAAACCCCATTTAATAGTAAATGACAGAAGCCTGTATACACTGCAAGAAAACAGGAAAGCACATCCGTTCAAACTATTCAATCTTTTAAATCTGGAGAAGTAGTTTGACTGTTTATCAGTGTCGTATTAATGTAAAACTTGTACGCATTTTGCTACATGGTTTTTGTCAAGTCCGTGTCGTTGGTTAGTTTCATCTAAATTGTCAACAAATATGTAAGTCGTGAACGCCAGACGATGTATGCTTGTTCATATTGCGATCAAATAACAACCCTCGGTGATATTATAACGTAGTAAATCACGTCCAAGGTATCGCAGAGAAAAAGTAAAGTTCTACGTGTTCCCCTTCTCGTAAGTAATTCGTGGGGTGGCCAATAGCACAATTCGGTCGGTCTCTTCTTCTTCTGCTCCCAAAGTGTTGGTTGGCTGCATGGTTTCTTTGATTTATTACATTTTCCCCCAAAAGTTGACATCGAAGTGTTACAACGAGTACATGTTCACTTTTGCTCTGCTAAATATAATACAATTTTACAAAAAAATATCTATTCTGTTTTCTACAAAAATTCAGTATTATCGCTACTGTAAAGTATTAGTTTCTGGCTGTAGACATTTTTATCCTGTAGCAAATAGATGAGATGACCCGAGGTCCGGTCATTGTCGTTTCATCTCTATGAACTGCTGGAGTCTGCATATGTCGCGATGTGAATTTGGGGTTTCAGTTGATTTTATTTAACAAAAAGTGTCGAATTTTGTTGTCACTCCTCACATATTTGTAAACTCGCTTTGTTGTCGATGCGATACGGGTATCACTGCATTGCACGGAATTACCTTTCGAAGGGGTAGTTTACAAATCCATTATCAATAATCATCTTCAGCGTGGAGGTTGAACGTATTGATATATTTCATGTTTTATGATATGTTTGATCAACCGCTTCAGCAGCACAAACAGCTCTACTTGAAAAAATGAATGTCTTCATTTTACTCAAACTGCTCCTGTCTGAGTGTACTACACAAACGACACAAAAATAACATAATGGCGTCACATCACGTCAATTCAGTTCAGTCAAGGGTAATTTAATCCAATTTAATGTGTAGGAACCAGTGAAACGGGAAAGGTCAGATTCGATTTGGAGTAACAACTCCCTTCTGATACAATCAGGATATGACAGATTTTATGAAACCTATTTTCCTTCTTGACATTACTCGATCACTAAAATGTGGAAACATTTGAAAAAACACTTATTTGTTGAAATTGATTTTCTGGGTTCAAGTTTGTAATAAAAGTACTTGACCGAAAATCGTAGGTCAGTATATATGACATTGCACTTCTGGTTAAATCCGTAATGATGAGGCTAAATTTTGTCAGTGTTGGGACAAGTCTCTCATAAAAATCATATAAATTCAGAATAAAGGGAAAGACGTATTAGGGGTTAGTATTAAGATTAATCTCGGTATATGCAGTTCCTCTCAAATTATCCAATTGCTGAGCCCCCAAACCCAAAATCTTGTTGGATTTGAAATGGGAACAATTTATCTTGTTATGAATCATTTCCTAACTTATCGGAACTTTAATCTTCATGGCAGTAGCAGAATGCTTGGTTTTGGACTATAACATTTAAACCAGAGTTTTTGTTCGTCCTGGTATTTAGATTATGATCCGTTTCGCACCCTCCATTAAACTGTAAGATACAAAATACCCTTCAAACTGATTTTTTAAATTCAAAGACGATCAAATACATTTTCTATCTATACATAGCTTTATTCTGTTAAAATGTCAATTTTCATCTTGAGCACGTCCCACTTTACGCAAGTACATCTTTATTTCGTGTTACTGAACAATGATTGACTACGTATGCACTATGTACTAATCGTAAGGGTACATGTTTAATATTATCATCGAGGTACACACTGAAGAGGAAAATCGCATAATCGCATGTAAATGCAAAATATCTAGTAATGTAAGTAGTTTTAAGTTATTTCATAGCCGAGCTTGTTTGTATTTATTAGTTTTCACCGCATTTGTAAAAAAATAGTACTTGAAAAAGTTAAATGACTGATTTGAAATTGAAATTTATACACTAATGACTAGTGTCACGTACAGCTAAGCAGAAAAGTGGTTTGAACACGTTCGAGCTATAATGCTGCATAAACAAGATGTCGAGAATGGAGAATTTCCTCACTTTTAAACGAATGAGTCAAGGCGACGAAGGATTTACTCTGGTTTCCATATTATAAGCTCCGTCTTAACGGCTTAATGTATTGGTTTGGTAGACATCCTCACAGTTCTGGAGACTTCACTTGGTGCTGCATATGACCAACAACAAATTTTCTTCGGGTAATAGAAAGTGTCAAATTAGTTATGCAGTTAAAACTATGAGCTCTTCGGCAACACCAAGTGAAAAACTGGACAAAAAACGGGGTTGTTTCAATCATTTTTTGAAGAGTCAGTATGTATACGATTTGAGTTTGTTAGTTATATACTCATTCTGTGGATTGGCTAAGTTTTGAGATTAACTAGATTATTGAGACATATTTACGGACCAATTTATTTACGAGGGCTTTGTGAGTTCAAATATGGAAAACACATGGTCTCATAAATAGCACTTTGGATGCTAATGTCTTTTCAACTATGTTGAGACTTTAATGGGAGTCTGAGAAAGCTTGTGGAATTTTGTTGAAAATACCACTTTATAATTTCCACTTTGACTACACAGTATACGACAGAACATGAATCCATAAGTTGCAGTTTGTGCAGCAACGTCGGAAATAACTTGTCATGAAGATTTTTAACCTGGTGACATGGTTTTTCAAGTGTTTGACCAATGAGTTGGAAAATTGTTGCACAAATTGCTATAAGACCTCATTAAATCTTGCTTTACCTACTTTTCACCTGCTTCAATCGCCCCAGAACAATTATTTCCTCCTTCTCGCACAGTCACGTTACAGCAAGATGAAGATTTATCAGACCAGAGTCTGATAAATGAGTCGACGAATATGGAGTCAAAGTGTGATTTGAGTATTACGGAAAGCTTTTGATGAAGATTATGCATACATTCGAATGAAGCAGTAATAAATTAAATTATGTTACATGTGATGCGATTCATCCATCTTTATTTCCACTGTGAACTTGTAACAATCCGGATTATTGATACCATTCCATTTCCTCAACTTCGTTTCTATCTGCCCGCTATATAAATGCGTAGATACATACGTGCAAGGCAAAGGGGATAAACAGGTCCTAAGTATTACAAATTACCGCATTAATTCTAAGGTGTCCGCGTCTGGTGATTGATGTGGAGACACCAGGCCCTTAAATGAACAAGACATTTGTTGATTAGACATGCGTTTTATTGAGTTTAGCGTGCACCTCTTGAGCTGAAAGCCAGAACTGGTAAGAAATTAAGGAAATTGCGTGACTTCTAATCTGATTTGGGTGCATGACAGATCGCAAGACTCTTGTGTCTTCATTTATTTTCTTGCCCCTTGTATCTTCCTAATCCTCAGGAAAAGCATTGAATTTCTTTCTCTTGCTGTGTATCAGGCATTACTAAACTCATTGAACGAATTGTTAATTTTCTTATCGTATACATACATTTTTATTCATTGACTTATATGCCATTTAAATTTCTGATATTTCTGCCTAAAATTAAAATTTCGAGTTTGATATTTCTTCCGTGTATTTTGTTGTCACTTAAAGAAAGTTTACTTGTGAACAAATACGTATGAATGAACTGCTTAGAATCACATTTTATTTTGTGGTAAGACACGCCTTGTAATTTACCTGACTGAAAAATGTAATGATGATGAAAGCAATTATGCTTTTTTTTGTTTGTAAACGAACCAAATCAGTGATATATGGGTACATGTATTATAGTCCTTTTGCTACTCGAGAACACGAAGGATACCTATATAAACTACTTGACTTGATAATAAAACGATGGAATTAGAAAATTTAGCAAAATTCAAAAATTAATTATGCATAAACTGCATCATCATATCATGTTCGATTTCGGAAACTGAAAGCTTACTAATAATCAGAATAAGGCCAATGGTTACTTTTGTGTATTTCGTAAAATCAATCATGCTCAGTTTCCTATCCACCACACGAGTCCTTGCCCCCAAACCTAAATTGGAGTAATTAAGTCAAAGTTCAATTTTCTACTGTTCAATAAGTAACCCGTTTGTGTAGAGGTTGAGAGTTGCAAAATTGATTTTTCAGCTGAACCAATTTAGATGAATGGCTGGTTGCGAACCAAGGGAAAACTTTGGACGAGGAGTTTCTCATTATTCCATTTATCCAGCCCGCATATAGAACAATCTGCCTGCCGACGGGATTATGGCGATAGGAGCTGCACAAGTGGATAAAGTCGCACGGGAAGCCTGCCTCATGGAAGCACATAAACGTGTGACGGTTTCAATGGTTTCCTAAGACTGACTTCTTAAGAATAAATCAGAGCTGTCTTCGTTAAAATTGTAATGACATGAGAGGAGAGAAAATTAGCAGAGGTTGTAAGCTCGCGACTTGATCTCCCCTTGGTAAGAAAGTTGTTCGATCGACCGGAGCAGGAAGGAAACGCAGGCCGGGCGACGGAGGCTGATTAGCATTGAATTATTATGCGACTCTCTCACCCGTCTTCGTCTACCACCACCTTTCAACTAATGCACTTCAACGTCGCATTACAGTTTCATTAGAGGTCGGAATTCTCTGTTTAGCCAACAATGAAATATTGGAAAATGATAACACCACTTTCACTACTTCTCTCTCACGAGTATGACTCGCGTTCTATCAAACCTTCAGTGGTGACGAAATATTTCAGCCTCGTTGTTATCATGACTCATGGTGGCGCATTCCTACTAGTGAACTATTTAATCCTGATAGTATTTCAATTTCAAACTATTCTTATGGTCATTAAAATTTGTCAAGTTGCTGAACTCCTCACTCCGTGGTGCTTGTTAGCTAGCGTATGTTTGTAATTTCAACTTGTGAAATGTTAAAAAGTTAATACGAACGTTGTCTCGTGCATATGAGCATGAATGCTGTTGTTTCATTGTCAACTTGAAATTAGGGTTGTCTGAGATTAAATTAGCTGGGCACGTAATATTTTGGGACATTCTTTCGTTGGTTGCCATCCTCTGCTATCTCGGTAATTTCGATGTGTGGTGCGTGTTAGTCGAGCTCGCAAAGAATTTGTCACATTGTCGTCCTGCTGTCTGGAGTAATTAGGAAATCCATTTTATTAACAGTGATACAAGACAAGCGAACATTTCCTGGCACCTCAGCCTCACTGATGCCGTGCTGTCTCATTAAGTGAAAATAGTTTTCCAGCAGAAATACTTCGTCGGCTACCTATCCTCACATATGTACAAATACTCCAGTGCGAGCGTCATGAGAGGATGATAAAATTCATGCTGTCAACACGAAGATCGGCCTGTGTGACATGTTCAAGTCAATTTCGATGTGCTGCTCATTTCGTTTGCCTGCATTCCTTCCAGATCGGGTTATCTTTGTAATGCAATTAAAATTTGTTGAATTATGTGGTTTTCCGCGAGATGACAAGTGGTGAGATAAGTTGAGCTCGGTGTACCGGCAGAGCTGAGGGAGACGTTCAAGTTTTCGCATTAAGAACTTGGTCATATTTCATTCTAGCACAAGTGGAGAGAAGCACGGTTTCGGTGCCACGCACTGCGTACAAAAAAGGGTGGAGTTGATGATCATTGCGTTACTTTATGCAAAGGATTTCCTGAGCAGATGTAATCAATATGATTAAGCTGAAAGTTCAAGTGCAGTCGTTGGCTCTTTGCCTTCCATAAAATTTAAATGAATTAAACCAGAGTACGATACAATGCGGAGCATCGTTCTAACAATTCGTTCGTTGACTGATTTTGTAATATTTTGACGTGTGCTAATATACAAATAAGAAAAAAAAATATTAAGAGGCCTTGAATACATTATGTACAATTTGATAAAAATTGTATTATAATTTGTGTTATACGAAGTAATTTTCGTTTAAAAATTTCAAAAACATGTTTTCTAATAACGGACGATTATCATATCTTCGTCTTTTAAGATTAGAGCTTTATCGTTTGTATGTAAGTGTGATGGGGAGTACTTTGATTTGGTATGCATGTAAATGTAATCGATGGGACGCCTAACTGGAAATCTGTTAGATTCCAGTTGTTTCTCGAGATCGTATGAATTTATGAATATAAAACTTTGTCCAATTAAGACAAACTTGTTGTTTGAAGGAATCGTGTCCGCTGTTGCCGGACCGGGATGAAAATGATACAAGAATACGTCAAGTATATAAAAATGTCAAGTTGTCTTTACGACAGCAATATTTTTCTGAAAACGCGTAATAAATTTTCTGCATTATCAAGTCTGAAATATGTTAAGACAATATTATGATGCAGGTATTATACAAACAAGTGGTAGATATGTGCATAATTAATAATCTCGACTTCATTTCATTTGATTTGATTTTTTTAGTGTACAAACTATATATTTATAATTTGTTTTACATTTTGCAGATTGCCGAGCAGCTCAAACGTTTGAAAAACAACCAGATTACAATGAAGTAAATCCTGGACAAGAGGTGGGTGGAAATTCTTTTGAAAATATTGTCATTCAAGATGCACATTGGTCATGGTGAACTTACAATTGTTCCGTCGATTTATGAGATTTTAGAAAAATTGTAGCGTATCAAATTATGTACTGCATATTTATTTTATTTTGCGTCATTTCAATTTCAGTCTATCGTGACATGCAAAATCTTCAACAAGAAAGGTCAATGTTCCTGGCAAAAGGATGGAAAGGTAAGTCTGAAGCTTTTTTATAATTGAGTAAAATTTCGATTGTCATATATGCAGTACGCCGTGTAGAAAAATTCAGTCATCATGCACTTTCTCCTATATTTCTTTGTGAAGGGAGCTAATCACATCATAATCCATCAAATCCATTAAAAATTCTTCTACTTCTTTGGACCTAAGTACATTTTGTCATCTGTTTATACTGAAAGGAGGCGACGACAGTGAAAAATAAATAGAAGAGGAAAGGCTGTAGGTCCCAGGTTATCTCATTATATTTGCATATTGTCATCCAATTCATCTCTGGAGAATGTTGCAAAATTCCATTTTTCCATTGTAATAACTCGGTTAGCTTGGTTTAAGAAAATGAGGTCACAAGAATTGCATGGTTAGAATTTCGTAAGGAGCATCTTTCCTTTTTGTTTTTATCATGGCCCAGCTTAGGATTATGTAGTGGATACGTAACCCACGAAATAAAGTGTTTCCCTAAAGTTGTACGCCTCAACAATGTAATAATAATATGAGGCTGTTACCGAACCACACATCGAGTACGTATAAGTAAGCATCGTTTTGCCGAACAGAGGTCAAACGCCCACCACAATTTTTATTCAAGGGTTAACCTCGACTGCCCCGTGTAATTTAGCATATCTGCGTGGCGAAACTAAGGTTATCTAAGTATGCAGTCCCACACGGGTAGTTTAACTCGGGCTATTCTGTTGAAGTTCTTTTTAATAATTAAACACGACTCTTCCTCCTACTACGAAACCCGCCCGCTCGTGTATGAATCGTACACTTGGTTCGTGTCCGTAAGAGCTAATTGATGTTGTGGGTTGTTGGACTAGGAAGCGAACTAGAAATGATAGGTCGTCGTCGTCGTCGTAGTTGGTGGACTTGGAGGAAGTAGCGTTGGGGGCTATGAAGGGAGTTGTATTCCCTCAATCAGCCTTTCACCGTAACCAGAATAAATGCTCGCCAGCTTGCCCAAGATTTTCGTTCCGCATTTGTATCATCATATTTATGCATGCATATTTCATCCTGGATCCTCTGGTGCGGAGCTCTCTATGCTGACCCATTTTGCTACAAAACGGAAATTTGTATCCATCCACCTGCTTCATTTCATATTCTGATTACCTCAATTTCATACCAGAACAAGTTGGCAGTTGTGCATGGATGATGCGATGCTCACGTATACATAGTTTTCATATCAGCCAAAGGAAATATGCCATTTAATATTACAATCTCCAGCAGTTATGTTTTACGGCATCCACTTTATTGGTAGTCTGCAGTTTACCTTTACTTGTTTGTAAAACACAATGTTTTAATTTCAGCCGGTGGGAATCTACCTGGGCAAATATGAGTGGGCCGGAAATCCCGACACTGGCGACTGCAGTTTACGGGTGATGAACGCCGCGTTGGAGTACGATGACGGGGAGTGGGAGTGCCAAGTAACGGCGTCCGACTTCCAAGCTCAAGACGCGTTAACTTCACGCCCTGTAAAATTGGTCGTTCGAGGTAAGATCAGAAATTTAGCTTGCATTGAAATTAACTTGGTAGCTCTCTCTGTTTCTTATATTAAGCTTGTCAGTAATATTTAGTATAAATATGCTAATGCAAAACTGATAATGGCAAACTGTACAAAAATTGTCACGTTTTCGTTTATCTATGTACTACTTTGGCATAATTGAACAAAAAGCACGGATGAATTGAAGCTAGATTTTTATGGATTTTTTAAATTTTACTAAATATTGAGTAGACTCAATTTTCGTCACACCACGACATTCAATGGCCACGAATAAAAAAAATTGCAAAATATAGAAGTTAATGTCGAGATACATATTCAAGTGTGCATGCATACAAAAACCAGTCAATAAGGATAATGAGATCTTTGTCTAACTTTTTTACACAAATCTGAATTCGTGATCCAATTGAGGTGACACAGTTTACAAGAAACAGTGACATTTTTTTTTACTTTCATCAGTTTATAATTAGCCGTTCATATGAAATGGCATTTCGAAATTTAGCAGAATAAAGATTAAATTTGTGTCAACAAATAAATAAACGTCTGACGAGAATGGAAAGAATTTTGAGTACAAAAGGCACATGGACGGAGACTAATTGGGATGAAAAGAAGCTCGTGATGCACCTGTGACTCAAAAGTTTCTTTCATGTGTTACATCACACGCTTCACTCGCTCATTCACCTGAGAGATCTCTGTTCGAATCTGACTCTTGCACAGAGTCAGTCGTCCTTACTTGCTGTAAGTCAACCTGAAGGATTTTGTGACGGATTGCTGCTTCTCATCTAACGTGTATTTAGATATGTATGTATCTGTTATTAGACTTTTTTGCTACCACCCTGTGTTCAATCAAGAAACGATGTTTGGACACCTGCCTCCTCCTCTTCGTGTTGCTAGAAATAAATAATATGGAATTCCGTAATAATTGACCCTCCTTTTATCATATTTGTTTTCTATTTCTGCGAAAGGCAACTTTTTCTTGAAAGTAATCAGCGTTTGTCAACTTAATTCGCGTGATGCTTGAAGATAATTTGATTATAGTCGTCCAAATTGCATTATGCCAGCAGGCATGACTTCAAAGTTTTGAACTATAGTTATGTATTTAGATACTGTGTTTCATAGTTTTTGATTTACAGTAGTCAATTATGCTGCCAGACAGTGTAGTCAAAGGTGAGAAATAGGGCTTCAATCTGTGATGGCCACTTTTGTATGGGAGTAGTAGCATCACTTGAGAATTCAAGTGTGAAAATTTGTTTGAGTTATACCGATCAAGATTTTATCTGCGTATAGAATTCTTTATTGAGAAAATTGATCTCAACAAGGGTTATAGTTTGGCCGGAGATTGGTTGTTGTGAAATTGATGGTTGGCATACGGTATATGTGCATACATACGAAAGCGTATGCTTATTTAGATGAATGATAAGTTTAGCATAAATATTTATAAACTTTTAGTTGACCAATTCCAGTAAATACTGGAATGCAAAGATTGAGAAGGTATGATATTTTGACTGAAGAAATATAGCGAATAGAATAATTCGCTTAGAAACCTTGGTGGTCAAAATTAAACATTAGAGCACACATAGCGGTACTTTATTTTTAAATTCCAGCGTTCTATATGCATTGTACATATGTAATGCAGAGTATATGTGCATGTATGTAGGTACAACACACCCGTCGGTACATTTATCTGCTCTTGAAATCTGAAACCTTGTGGAACGTCAGCAGGGAGCCAGCAAACAAGATGGAAACCACCCCCAAATGTTTACAAATTGGTGTGAATGTTATTGTTGCAAATGTCAATCATTTCATTTCTGTGTCTTGAACGAAATAAGATCCTTTTCCATTTCGATCTATCCAGGGATTCTGATGTAATAAGACAAGAAAGTTTGGCAAGTCGGTTATTAAGAGTCCTCCTACCGCAGTTTATCACAAATACGTATCTCTAGTTATTTCTTGAGAGGAAATAGTTTACTGCGAGTTATAAAGGAGGAGAGGAAACCAACCGCATTTTGAAAATTGGCTGGAAAAGTTGCCTACAAGAATTGTACCCATTTCAATTATTGCTTTTCATTTGAGTGATTCAATTCTTTGGCTGAAATAATTTCCTCTCAAAAGTGGGGACGCTTTTTCTCTTTCGTATCGTCAGCCAGCCTCATTTATTTTTAACAATCCACAATGTTGTAGCTTCTCTGCATGAATGGTTCCCTTGTTAGTCAGCGGATACAGACGAATTACCTCTTTTTCTTCCTCTCTGAAGGGTTTGATGTAGTAGCGCATTCGATCGCATCTTATATTTCGTGTTATTATTATTATCATTATTTATAAAAAATTAAATTGAGACATTTGTTTGACTCACTCTCGTGTTGGACACGCATAAATATTCTACACCATATTTCAACGTTTCTCTGTTGCGCTTGTGGTTTGGTTGGTCAAAACGTCACGAATATCCTGACCAAAATCATGATACTTGCACATCTCTCCAATCTTCAAGTTTTGTCTATCTATTTATTTTTCAGAGTTGATATACGAAGAATACATTATCCGTTTTTTGTAACTTTGTGGTTTCCGACGGTTGGCTAGCGTAGCGACAGACACGTTCTCCACTTCCCTTCTTCCAAATTGGAAGGAAGTGCTACTTAAATGCAGACGCGTTGTATTTGCAAACTTTGTTGCCAATTTGGTTTTATATCAACTATGCATGTACTGTTAAAAATACTCGTGTAGAATGTCTTGATGATGTCTTGATATACTTGGTTTCATCTCAAATATCATTCCATGAATGTGTTGACAAGAATCGTTCTCGAAGTTGTGGCACAGAAAACATAAAACCACCCTGATGAATTGTCAACTGTGTCAAAATAGTATTGAATTTATGGCAAGAAATATGATAAATATGTTCCACTCGCATGACACGTGTTGACTGTTGACTTCCTTATATCATTCATCAGATCAGCAAATGTCGTGGCATAATTTCTGAGGTGGGATGTTCTGATAAAGATTTAACACGAGTGAGTATTAGCATCAGTTTAAAATCCCAAAATAGCAAATCTCTGTTCCAGATCCTTTGGAACAATAACAACGTCAAAAGGTTAAACTTGTTTACACCGAGGTTAGAGGTAGGTATCAAGAAACGAAGTGTGCATGGTAATTCTGCACCGACTAAATATGAGCGTCCTGTGATTTTTTGTTGCTTTTGTGCCGATCCAAGAAGCTACATTCATGTACAAAATATGGCCGTTTGAAAATTTGAATGCAAAAGAAGTCTTTATCCGCAAGATTTCACATCCATTTGAGCCCCTTGAATAAGTCAGTCATGTTCCGGATGTGTAGACTCGTAAATAGCTGCAAAACAAGATTTACGGGCGAGAAGTCGCCATTACGTGTCAAATTTCATGCGTTTAATTTTCTCAACTCAACCGTTTCAAATCTACTTTGTGTTGACGAGTATACATTTATGTGCGTGGACGAACAAGCGCGGTTTTACGTCCAGGAACAATTACGTTTCAGATTGAGTCATGATGCTGTTAGTCAAAATTAGCTATGACTCAGACATTAATGGTTGAAACGACAATTTAAGTTTGCATACATAGAATTTTATTCAATTATAAAATTCGAGAATCGTAGATCCAGTACCAAATAAGTATAATTGAATAATTAAAAACCATGTATGTACATGAGTACGTACTATATATACATATAGTACCCAAAGCCATAATCTCATTTGCATAATGTAGACTGATTTCGAATGTATGAACGATTGTTACATATACAGGAATTGTTTAACCGAAAAGATCGAAGGCACGAACTCAGGGTTTTTCTTTTGGTGTTGAAATAAAATATTTTGAGTTTGCTAAAAATCACGCACACTACTTTTTCTCAATAACTGACATCGTTTTTTCTTGTCAAACTTTCTCATTTCACAAGTCAAAGCATCTAAGAAATTTGTGTGAGACCTTTCGATATGCTTTTCCTCTGCCTGATTCATCCTGCGTCAAAGGTATTAAAACGTGTATTGGAATCTAGTAAAGTGAAGATAATAACAAGTACAATCTTGTGTGTTATTTCAGAGAGATGAGAAGATATCAAAGTGCAAATATTTTGTTGAAAGTTGTTGCTCGCTATACATACATACATTGTAAAATTTAACACTTAATAAACAATACAGTGGCCATACGTACATGTATTCAAATTATATTTCAAAACATGAAACAAAATGCGGCTTGAAGTAAAATTTAGAGAATTTAAACCATCACTTTTCTGTGCAGAATTCCACATCCCAATAAAATATAGAACGTGTCCGAGATGCAAATGATACATGAAGTTGCTAAACTTTGAAATCCTCTGAGGGCTGAGAAAACTTGTGCACAATGTGAGTTGCTTGGTTGGGTTTCTTGTGTACAAGGAGGAAAAGCCGGATTGAAATTTGAAATACAAAATAGGTAGCTTTTGGAGATTGTATTGGAGAAGCTCTCTCTCCCTCACGTTCAGATATTACTGCTATACGTCTCACATTTCAGTTGAATCCATCAGATTCTCATCCTTACATCTTTTTATCCCTGGCTCCTTTCCTTCCAACGATTTCGGAAAGCTGAGCAAAGTGGCCATTTTAAATCCATAGTTGAGCCACATACATTTGTAACTCTGAGCTTGTAGTGGAAAGTCGGAGAATAATGATCGGATCTTTTTGACCATGTCGTACATACATACAGATACACGTACATGTATGATAGGTACATACGAGTATATATAAACCTTACCCGTTGTTTCGACGCAAATAATATGCACACACATTCAAGACAAACAAATACAGGAAGGTTTTCTCATCCGAGATTATTGTCCAGGGCTGGATCAAATAGACGATCGATTTTTGACCTGAGTGACTCTTATGCTACCAATCTATCAACCTACAGATGGGAGTTAATACTCGTATAATCTCTTAATTCTGATGAGTGAGACAACCCCATTTAATTTATCCTGGGATGAACATTACGGAGATTTTAGAGCAATAAAATTAAGCGTCAATGCAGTTTGCAACCTATCATGGAAGTTTTACAAAAAGTAAATTTATTCGTTCTCCAGGCAGTTACAATTTCATTTTTGGCACTATGCAAGAAAGACACTGGATGTGAAGCAAAAAAAAACAAGCAAAAAACACGAAGATGCATCGCCAACCCAGCGACATATTTAGGTTCTGGCTTTGGTATCCAAGAATTTACAAGAATACAGCACTTCGTGCCTGCGTGGATAAGTGTGTGTTATTATTGGTGAGGAGTTTGACTGCGTGTGTTTACTTCTCCGCGAGTACATTCGTACGTACGTATGAAAGTGGTGTCGTAGAATGTTTCCGATGTGGAAGAAACAGCAGGGAGTTTAATGGTTGTGTGTCACCATCACCCGGGTATTTAGCACTTGTAGAACACAACCGGTCGAGTTAAGGGTTTTGCTCTACTCAGCTCAAGTGACACATTAAACTTGTTTATTGCATTTCTCTGAAGAAAATATATGAGGTGTTTATTACCTCGTCACACTGCTCAATACCCTCTCTCAGCCTCAGTGGCTTCATGTTTTCATTCGCATTAATCATTCGAGCCAGTATTTACCCAGTAAATTGATAGTTTTTGCAGGAATGAGGACACCGGAAGCAAAGAGCAACAGTGTGTCCTTCGTCGTCTGCCTCTTTTTTGCAACAGATTCTAAACGGACCATTACTTATTAGCTCAGTTAAACTTTATACCTGTCATGTTTTATTTTAGCCCCATTTATTTAAGTGTGAAGGACGATAAGAATGTTGAAATCGATATTTCTAGATCAGCTACTCTACTATTCTGCAGAATGTCTATTATCACAACATAGTTTCCAATTTTTCTCATTTTCCAAGTCGCGTTTATTCTGCTCAAGACGTTCAGGTTGTTCTGATTTGCGAATTCAATTCACAAGTATTTTCATCGGTTTCATATTAAATGGAACAATGTTCTCGAGAGGGTGAAAACCCGCATTTGTCCAAACTTGTGTAGGCTCCGATTCCTTCAGCCCACTATTTGTGGAACACGAGAAGGGCGGAATTTCGAACAAAAATGCCATTTCCATACGTGCGTTGTTTGTGTATTTCATGCTGCTTTAGGTGTGGTGTGGGATCTTTATGGTCTATTTATATGTCAGCACTTTTCTCAACTATCTCACTCATCCTCAGCTCATCGCTACCGATATTCTCCAACTTATGGTATCACACAACTACATAAATACATAAAATCCTCTCTCTCCAGTTAACACAATTTTGTTTCAATGGCAAAATCATAGCAAAACTAATTGCTTGTTCACCTTTACTTGTCTGTTAAAGTTGCCCTGCTGTTGTAATGATGGATACTTCACTTGTCATTTCGGCATAACCGTAACCGTTTCATATTAATGCGAGATCCGTAACCAATCCGCAATAATAACAATGCTTTGAATGAATGAGGATGACGACACGAAAGGGTTGTCACTTTGAAGTGGATGGAAATGAAGGGCATGTGTGACAAATCCTCGTCTCATTCACGTGCATATTCTCATTGAGAGCAGAGAGAAAGACAAACCACAATTTAAATCCGAATTCACGCAAATAGAATAATTACTGAGCGAGTAACTGTTTGCTTTCCGCGTCTGAAGCCCCTCACACACTCACCAAACCACCGAACTGAATTGGAGGATTACTCAAAGTAATTTGGCGTTGATGGCGGAATAATGGAATGAGCTATCCGATGCTTATCCTACAAAGAGCTTCATTATTCCCTTCTCTAATATTGATGTTGTTGGATGATGTCGGATGGAGATGGAGACGACACGAATTTGTGTTTACTTAGGGTAGCAAGCACACATAGGTTTTGTCCGTGGTGTCACAAAACGGATTTGCTCTTATAGTCATCCGACCCGAATTATCTGTTATTGTGGACAATTCCGTACGTGCGTAAAACGCACCCGTTTGTCATTTCATTTTAGGAGACTTTTAAAAACGCACTATTTATATACTGATTGCTTCGATTGATTGTAGGGCTATAAGCTTTTTAGGTTAAGACTTTCCAAAATTATCAGTTTCAAACCCATAAATACGCGTTCTTCTTTTTTTATTACAGTTCCTCCGAACGCCCCGCAAATCGAGTACAATGGAACACAGGTAACATACTTAAAATATTATTCAAAAATTCATTTATGAAATTTGAAACATAAAATGTAATACAAATATTATTCGACAGATCCCAACTGGAAAGAACGTGACCGCAGCCCATGGTGCCCGAGTCGCTGTGAAGTGCTCGAGTCGATATGGCAATCCTCCAGCCCTGTTAAAGTGGTTTGTCGGTAAGTTGTTTTGCGTAATACTTGTTGTTTGTATGGATTATCACACAGTTGATTAACATCTTATCATTGTAAATACTGCTGCAATATCCTAAAGCAGTGCACATTTAAGTGCATTTGAATCTTGTTAGATACACTGTGCAATTTAATGTATTTCCTCTACTTGAGAATATATTTTGAAAACGAGTTGAATTTTATTTTTAAATAAATCTCAGTAGGCAACTCTTTCATCTTCAATATTGCCTTACATATTGCCAACCCCCCAGAGAGTAAGGATGCAAACTTTTCAAAATTGACGAGACTAGTGAAAAGAAAATAAGGATAAATCTGTTAAAGGGTCGAATGTGCATTCGAAATTGAATGTCAAGTCTGTATCAAATGATACAACATGATCAGACACAAAGTATGATACAATGCAAACATAAAAGTTGATAGGGCGACATTGTTACACAAAAGTTTTCCCCAACCTGATACTATTTTCCTTTCAGCGAACAAACAAATGAAAGTGCACTTAGGTCAAAGAAACCGCATCCGGTTTTTTCATGCGAAAGGGAGCATAAAAAAGGTGCTCCTCCTGAAAGAATGATTGACAGGTCAATAGAGTTGTTGAGGGTTCAGTCAGATCATCCGACCTGCTGCTGCGGTTAGCTATTGGTTTGTTTGGTGGGGATACAGTTGATGTGTTATTTGTGTTCAAAAGTTTGATAATAGGACACCGAATCGATTCCCGATTGAGATTGTGTCATATCTTTAACAACAAAACATGATTTATACTGTTCATTAGGAGCAGCAAAAAACGAGCTCTAAAGAGGCGAGACGGAAATCCTCAAGAGATATTTCCTTCTTGTAGTGGCTGTCTTAAAACATGCCACGCAACCAACTCATTTTGCGAGGGTATCAAGTAACACATGAGAGAAAGAAAGAAATGCATTTGTAAATTTGTGCTTTTCCAGGTGAGGAGGAGATCACGGGAGTAAACCAGACGAACAAGACGGAGGATGACAACGCCAAAAAGTGGGCTGCTCTAAGCATCCTTGAAGTAATAGTTTATTTACTAAATAGCTGATAAAAATGAAATATTTAAATTAACATCCCATGTAATCTCATTCCAGTACACTTTCACCAAACAACAGAACGGAAAGATCATCAAATGTGTGGCTGTCCATGAGGCATATCCAACAAAGTCACGGGACACGCAGACAATTCTTGACATTCAATGTGAGCCCTTCTTTCAGTTCTTTTTTGTCTATTACGTATTGTCAAGTGTTAACTTCCTGCAAATCATGTTTCCTATTTTGGTGAAAAACTCACAAAAAGAGATGTGCATTTCTGAGGCCTTTTGTGATTCAATTAATGCAATGTAAGACGTACCAATCAATGACGTATTTCCCAAAATTCTTCATTGTGATCAATATGTTTTTGGTGGGTAGTATTTTACGCAATTTCCTTAATTTTAAAGATCGTGATATTTTGGCAATACATGAAATTCCGCCATAGTATTTTTCAAGAATGAGTTGCATTAAAAATTACCTAAAATGAATGAAATTGGTCATTCTTTCCGATGACTAGCACAAGTTGCACATAATACGGGTTCGATACGATTTCAATCAATCGTAAAAAGTTTTTACAGCCGCCAAGATCATTACAACAGTAGCTTCAATTTTCCCGTAATAGGATTATATGGGGAGAAGGGTAATACGTCATGATTCATAAAAGAGCTTCGAATGCCCATGTCAATTCCGTGATGAAATTTTATATTAAATTAATGTCGGATGCTTAATGTGATGGTTTCATTTTTACAGTTGACATCCCCCCCAAAAAAAATTCAATACGATAATGACTAATTTAACGACCACGTTATAGTTAATTTTACAACTTGTGCATAAAAATGATGAAATATTATTGATACACGGTAAAGATATACCTGTCAGCGTTTCATTTGGATCATGCAATCATCTAATAATTCGATATCATCAAAGTCCAGGTAGTTTTGTGTTAGTCGGGGTAAAAATTTAGCCCAGAGTGAAACCAAATGACCTTTGAAAGAGATACGATGATGATGGTACGACCATCAACGGAGGGCTTCCCCTCCTTGCATTGCCTGCTATGTGCGGGATGATGACAGGCTCAAGTCATAAATTTCAAATTGAGTTATTAACATGTCAAGGTTTTTCTGAGATAGGCGTTGTTCATTTTTATTCACAGCTTAAAGCGGTAGTGGTGCAGTAGGCATTTGCTCCCTGGTTCTCCCATCCAGCATTTTATTTTCTCGTTTTCTTAAGATTCACTAATTTTCTACTTGAGGCCAACGCTCAGACTTGCGTTCAAATCTGATCACTCCGTCCTGGGTGCGTATGCAAGTACCCACCATCTGCATGTTTGTTGTTTCTTGTACCAAGAAGGAGAGCTCCTGATTAGCTGGATGAGTTATTGCGATAGAACAGAATATTTTAAAAGACGGCTTGCATTGACAGAGTCTGAGCTATTAGTTGGTGGTGAAACAAGAAGGCTCAGAATTTTAATAAGCTGTACACACTCGCAACTATGTACATACATACGTACATGTGTATAGAGGTTCTTCACAGTTTTAATTCAACGGTAGAAAGTGCATCTATAAATTGGTAGCCTTTACTTTGTTAATGACGAAACCGTTTTATTATTCATTCATTCCAACATTCCAGTGAGATAATTTGTTATCAATATTACACTTTAGTTTCTTGCAATTTAATTTGGTGGATTTTTAGGCGTGGTACATTTACTTTAGAACATAGTTTAATAGTTATCCAGCCTGTGGTTTGAGAGAATAGTGGTTTGAAATACACGTTGGTTGGTTGGTTGGCTGGTTGGCTGGTTGAGCCGTGTGCTGCAATAATGGGATTTGAAACTATTTCCAAAGATGAAAGCAGCTCAGTTCAATTCTAGAAAAGTTTTCCTACTTTCTCTAAAAAATGGGTTCTCTTACTTTTATCCGCATCCTGCCGTATGACCGCGCGTACTTTTTCTCTCTCCGATTCTACTTTGATTCCATTTTCTAATTTATCATGCAAACCAACTTTTTGAATTTCAACGTGGACTGGCTTTAACTTTACTTCTGAAATAGCAAGCATTCAATTCGATGAACTTACTTGACTGGGGGCTGTCAGTTAAAGTTCTTCCTTCCTTGACACCACTGAAACCTATTCATTCGCCAGAAGAAGTCTTGTCGACTTGAAAACTTTCTTTGAATTGAAATGTTCAACAGATTTTATTTCAAATCCAGCCTGGTTAGATTAGGGTCAAGTGACTTGTTTTAATTTATGTATTTTTTTACTCTGGGGAAAATTGAATGCGAATTATTTCTTTGAATTGTTATTTAAAGAAGAGAAAATGATGAAAAGGAATAAAAAGAATGCGATGGGTATGTACATTGGAAATTAATGCGACTTATGTAGGAGATAAAAAAGTCTAATGTAAATCGATTTTTCAGCTTTGTCGTTTGGGTTCGCCTATTCCTCGCATAAAATATTTCCAGGAATTTCTCGATTTTTTTTCAAAGACGGTTGCTTCTTCGCCTACGAACACGAGTGAAGTTAAGAAAGAGGAGAGAAAGAGAGAGAGACCACTTTGGTGGTTGGTCGGCTAGTGCAAAGGGAATGATAAAAATGCGGATAGAGTCAGAGCTACGAGCTGTGAAATGAATCAAGGTTTCGTCGAGGAGAAAGTGCGTGGATTAGCAAATAAAAATATTCAAGTTTTGGGGCAAGTTCTACTTGGTGAGTCAGATGGATGGATTTTCCATACATATTTAAAGAGGCGAAACGGTTGATAAATTTTCTAATTTATTTTCTTTGCAATCTCTTCCACTCTAAATTCTAAATTAATCGCAACTCAACCACCACCACCCCTCTGAAAAGTTGGAGATATGTAGTTTCTTCAGATGAGAAGACTGTAAACACACTAGTTTAATAGGTGTGACGTGATTTATGCACTCTCGCATTTTTTCATAAAACATTCCTGAAAAATTATATTACGAAGCTAATATTTTGAATTAAATGGAGTAAACAAATAGGGAAAGTTTCTACTATTATTGAGATTATTTTATAATGCCTTATTTTTATTTTATTTCCATTACTGAAGGGTCCAAAAGTTGGCTTAATTTGGGATTAATTTTGTTTTGCGTATGCTTTTGAATCTTGTCTCTGTGTCACAGTCAATGTTCCATGAAGCTGAAGGTGTCGAATTTCCATTAATATTGAATGCAGCGTACATTAACCGTGACACACACGACCAATAGCAACTCCCCTTGTTCGTCTTACTAGGCCAAAAGTCATCCTTCTTCTTATACAACTTATTATGCACTCCGCCTTTGTAACCACCAGCCATAAGAAGACTTAAGCATTTTTTGAGCAAACTATAAAAGTGGTTTTTGCAATCTAATTCATTATAGATTACCTTAATGCTAATGGCGTCGGCTAAAACGTCGTCTGAATCACGGTTTAGCGGCCCCACCACAAACACCACCATCTTTTCACAAATTTTGGGATGAGTGGTAACAACTAAAAGCAAGCATTTTATTTAAATTAATCCCTAAAAGTTGGAAATGGGCATAATCTACAACCCACGGGGTGTTTTTGCACCATCCTGACACAAACATGCAGCATTCACTCATTTGTCCCTTCCCATTAGCTAATACGATTCATATTTTAGCCAGAGTTGACGACAACACCACAGAATGAAAGAAATGAACTGGGGGTATAGCACCACATTTTTCAGCGACAAACTCAAAGCATATAGTGACGGAAGGGCTCTTTGGCTCATTGGTTGCTGCATGAGCTGATTTTACTTATTTATGACGACAAATCTTTTCTTCCTTCGTTTCAAAGAAAAGTCATTTCGTGCACTGCACGGTCTTGCAGGATACGACGTTCGCCGTATATGTATGTATAAGCTCAAGAAGAAGCTCGGAGGAGTTGCTGCTGAATTTCCTTCTTTTCTCTGGATATGTGACTTCATGAATGAAAAATGCGTTGCTCTAAAAGATTTTTTGTTTAGGCTTAGCAGGCTTCTGTTTGAAAGAGTCAAAATTTTTGTATGAAATGTGCATTTAAAAGCTTCTCTTTATTCGTTGACCATGTCATTATAGGATGGATCCCGTATTACCTGAGTTCTCCCATCTCTTGAAAAATGTTTGTACGTAGGTGTACTTTTTCTTGGACTTCTTTCTTTCATCTCGTTCAAATATTTTCTCGGCTTGGATCCCAAATCCCAAACAGGTCTACGGCTCACGTCTGTTTTTGGAAGTTGTGCTAATCATGTATTGTTCAATTTTTTAACAAATCACAAGCTCATCAACAGAACACACTCGTGGGATTTACAAATCTACACACAGCCATCAAATATTTTGGTGTGCTCTTAGCATGATTGAGTAGCTAAATGTATGTATCCGCGTTAAATTTCTTTAAAAGGTGGCTTTAGAACAATAGAAGATGGGTGTGTGTGTGCATGTTTATGTTTTTTGTGTGACAGGAGCGCAACCTAATCCAGAATCCTACTATAAAATGTCGCTTTTGTGTCATTCCATCTCCATTCTTCATCTCTTTCTTTAATTGCCTTTTGTCAACGAGCAGTGGAAGAAACCCACTTTTCCACTCTAATAATTCCTGAGTTGTTAACAACAAGTGAAACAAGTTGACTTTTCTTGTCCAACTTTTGGGAGATTAATTTTGTTACAGTGGAAATGAAGCTTGACAACTTGAAGCGATCGTGAATTCAAGTCTTGAACCACAAGACCTAGGTTGGTTGGTTAGTTTTCTTATCGTAAAGATGAAAACTAGAGACAAACAGAATGACTTTGTCATAATTAATATTCTTTGCACTTACCCTTCATTTCAAATCTAAATCTGAGATTTTAGAGATTCAGATTCATTCAGGATTGTGTAATTTGCGTGGTTGAAATTGTAGTTGTGTTAAAGCACTATTAATTCGGAAAATTCTTTAAGAAATGTGTAAAATTTACAATAAGAATAACCAATAAAAAAGCAAGCCTTCTTAAAGTTTCGGATTTAAGTTAAAACTGTATTTGTCTTATCAATGGATTTACCGGTAGTTGGAAATTCTGGAATGGTGGGAAAGCTATCATTAATTATGCACATCCTTTCTGAAGAATGGATTTCTTGTCTACACAGAAGTCTTCTTCCCTCGTCGCTAATATGTTTTGCAGTCCAACTGCTTTAAACGGAAAGCTTAGGATTAGTTGGTGGTTCCTACTCCTGCTGATGTGCTTCATGGGCGTCTAAATCAGTTTATTTGGATTTCCTTACTAAGAAATTAACACAATCCCAGGGCAGTAATAAAATATTTGTGCCTTCATCACTCTGGCAAACCGCATCAAATTGAGATTCCTCTCTTCTTACGAGCTCTCCAGTTCAGACCATACGACGATGCAACCATATTCTATTTACACATGTAACTTTTTCGTTTCAGAAGAAGGGTTTTGTGCCTAAAATAGCAATATTTATTTTCTCCAAGAGTTTATTTGCCTGGACTATGAGGAGGAGGTTGGAGGATCAAATCACTATGATGTGACCTGGTAGTTTGTTCTTGTTTCTCAGTTCAACAGACTCTGAAAATTGTCTTGAAGTATCATGTATGTTACTAAATTGGTACGAAAGTTGCAGAGCTAAACAACGTATCTCAACTCAGATAAGCGCTTAAATAAAACATGAGATTTAGCCTAATTTAAATAAGATTTCCTCCCACTCTCGTCGCATCAGCAGTAGCAGGGAAACTAGAAGGAAAGTCCAGAAGTTGTGGAGTGGGAAAAGCCTGCTCTACAACAATTTGGTTCAGCATACTCAAATTGCATGAGCAAATTCGACAAAACCTTAAAGGATGAAAATGAGAAATAGGGGAGATATGTAGCTAAACAGATACTGCATACTTTATTGCACAACATGGTTACCTTGTATGCAAAATTATTATGTTTACTTATGATGAGAGGATTACGCACTAATCAGAACAGCAGCCTGGCTATTCTGAGAATTCTGCTTAAGACACTCAGTCTTATTATTTTCTAGCACAAGAGCTGCTATTAGCGTTGACTATCCACACTAAATACTATTTAGTAGAATGCCAAAGACAAACTTTCGCCATAACGTTGACATCATTAAATGGACGTTTACCCTCTGATCTCACGCACATCTTACACTATGCATGTACGCACACATCTATGCATACGCATCTATGCATGTAAACTTGTACAATCACACTTGGTGATGGAATTTAATTCAACAAATTCAGCCAATTTCACGAATAAGGAATTGCAAACTTCTCAATTCAGAAGTTGGTGAGGTGAGGGAGCCTCTTGGCCAAATTCGCTTCCGCAGAGTTGTGAGATTACGAAAGCTCGTTTGTTATCTACTAACAAGACAGCTAATTGTGAGAGACCCGTAGCAAAAGTGGCAGCCGAGTGGAGGGTAAGCAGATCATCATTTTTTCCTATCAGGGATAAATGTGACAAACTTATTAGCTGCAACAGTGACCAACTTTAGCCATGGCAAGTCAATTGCTTCTGCTGGTCTTTCTCCCAGCTTTCTCCAAGTCTGACAGGAATAATGGTTGGCTGTGTTTCTCTCGGGCAGGCAAATCTATCCCAAGCTCATCAATTTACCTAAGAGACTTTCTACTAGTGGGATTCATTTTGCTTGACATTTCAGTCAGCTAAAAGTTGGGGATTTTTCTATTCATTAGTTGGAACATAATGGTTGCAGTAATCGTAATAGAAAACCAAGTTAAATTATTGTTAGTTGGATGGAACAGGGTTGAATTGGATTGCTTTTCAAAGTTTTGTCTTACACTATGGTTGACTGAACCGCTATGTACGTGACTACTACTGACAGTCCTCACTGGTCCTGAGATAACTGGCTGGTCGTTTCACAAACGAGATCCAGAAACGGTGCCTGAGCTATTTTGACTGGAATGATTTTGCAGAACTGCGGAGAATTTTATTGTTGGCGTTGAACATACTTTTAACTTCGTTTGATATCCGTTCAAGATATACGTACATTCTTAGAACTGAACCAAGTTGATTTTAGCAGGAGTATAACTACGATTTCAAAATTGTTGTCTTCCACCAACTAACTTTTTACCGAATTCTATTTGATTATAGATGGACCACAAATAAAACTCTTGGGTCAGCCCGAGGGAGATTTGGAGGAGAACAAAGACGAAGTTACATTACGATGCATCGCTGATGCTAACCCACCTGCGACAATCGTGTGGAGGAAAGCCGGTAAGAATATAATATCCACCTAATTTATTTGGCACTATAAATATTAGCAATATTTAACTATATAATACGGAAGAACATGTTAATAATTAGGAGTTTAAAAGTAACATTATATTTTTTACAGGTCGGCCCGACATTTTCTCCTTCCAGGCAAGTTTTTTTGTTAAAAAATTCAAAAATGTGGCAAAGTTAACTTTATCGCTGCGCTTGAAAAATGATATTATTTGAAGTTTAGATCCACTGGAATAGTTGTCAACTTATCAACTTTCTTAAATGTCTGTCTCACTTTTCTGATTTTTTTCTTGCAGGAAACGATCAGCCTTAAACCGCTTCTGAGGAGACACTCTGGTTCTTTCAGGTACTTATTGATTTTTTGAGTCTGTGTGTCATTCATGCTATAATTAATATTCTCATGTTCTTAGTTGTGAAGCCAAAAATGAAATTGGAAAATCTCAACCAATCACGGTCGACATAGATGTGAAATGTACGATAAATTTTCAAGACCTTTGTCAAGTTGAATTATAACTTTCTTTCTGCATTTTTAGACCCACCAAAAATCACCCGTGCAGGTCCGGAACGAGTTGTGGTGGCTGCCCTTTACAACAGAACTGTCCTTGTTTGCCAAGCAGACGGTGATTAACTTAATTAAACTGTTGATGTTGATCATGCTACAAGCTGCATACTCATCAAAATGTAGTGAATATATGTAGTATCTAACGCTAGGCGTGTTGTCCCCTTGTCCTTGTTATAGGTAATCCCCAACCAGCTTACCAATGGCTGCAGAAGACTACGACAGCTGAAGAGACCGTGTACGTGAGGGGGGCCGAGCAAATGCTTGTCATCCACAACGTAACGTATGACTATCAAGGTCGATATGTGTGCAAGGCTTCGAATATCATTTCCGGCACCGAGAGACACAGCCAAAGTGAACCAATCGACCTTAGTGTTATGGGTAAGAAGATGAAACTGTTATTTTCTTGTTTCTTTCGTGTACACCAGACTTTGTCTCATCTCACTTTCCGCGATCTGAAACCAAAGCGCTGGAGAAATATACTTAGAACAAATGAACCATTTTATACACGGATACAGTTTCAGAGTCCATATAACGCGCAAGGATATTTCCAAGATGTTATACGAGTTGCCAGAAATAGAAGGTCAATTATTTGAAGGCGTCATTTGTCTGTTGACAGCAGTCCTCTCAAACTAAACAAGTCACCCTAGTGTAAGAGTACACACCCTGTAATAGCTTTGGCTCAGATTTGATGATAAAGTGGAACAGTTCATCCACAGATGTTATTTTTAGGATGGTATATACTTTTGCACATCTAGCGAGCCTAGTGTTGACCCAAGCACTCCGTAAATCATACCCATGAAAATGAAATGACAATTTGTTCTCCATTCTAGTCCGGTCCGGATTAACCAAGTATTAGTATGTTCTGCAACTGTCAAGTCAGCACCTCTGTTAATACACTACAGCCATGATAATATAGATCAATGCTCGACAAATGTGAGCATTTGTCATCAATATCACGATCTGCATCAGATTCGTCATTATTTGAGACTGGTTATTCATAGAGTAGGGCTGTGTTGCAATCATTTGACACCTTTCCATATCGGTTTTATTTTGGGACCTATCATGGAAATTTATTCTATTTACTTATATTCGTCCCATTCCCTTCTTGTCATTCAGTTCATCAAGTGTGGGAAGAAGAGAAAGCGTGGGTTTTGGAATCCAGTCGACTGGTTGGTGCCAACTGGTGGCTGGGTCGAGTGGTGGCGTTATCAGTGTCCAACTTAAAATAGGAAATGATTCATTACTTGCCACCCGGACGGTTTGTTGGGTTAACCACCAGAAACCTTGTAAATGCAACCTAGGTTTCTCCATGTTTTCTTTCTGCTCTGGTAATCATACTCAATGTACAACATACAAAAAACGAATATTTTGAACAAGCCAGAAAATGAACCAGCAACATAATTTTTTAGAAAATCGGAAACACCAAATAATGAGAATGTCACTTTCATCACGTTTTTTAGTCAAAAGCTTGAGCAGGAAGTTTCCCTTTCAAACACAATGTACGGGTTTCCTTAAACTTTGATATGAGAAAGCATGTGTGGTGGTGGTGATGGGGTCTTTAACCAAAAATTCTGTCCATCATTCATAATTTTCTCGTCGGAACAGGCATTCGACAGTCAACCCACCAACTTATTGGTTCTCCCCAAAAAACACACGCAAACACTTACAATTAGTTTGTGAAAGGTCGAAGAGCGCTGTGTTCCGCTTAATTATCTGTCTTAATTAAACTTCATCCGAGTTTTCTCCTTCCTCCTCACTGTGAGCATTATTATTATTAGTATTATTAGTATTAGTATTTACCTCTACAGAATTTTGATCCAACCCTTCCTTCCTACTTTCGGTATAGCTTTTGTAGCCTGGAGAGAAAAATCAGTAGTGAAAGCACACATGCGTCTTTGTACATGCATTTTGTACTCTTCCTGCGTACACAAAATATATAGTAAGTAGTTCCGGAGACCATGTATGTTTGAGGTCCAAGCTTGATATACAGCAAACCACGATTTCTACACTGTATAGTAAGGCTAGCTTCCGTACAATTTTATTGTTATTGTAATCACAATAACATGTACGAGTGTATGGAATTCTTTGTCTTGTCTTCTTGCAAGTTGTTCCAGTATTCTGTCTCACTATTTTTTCTCCCTCCTTACCGTTGGTTGGTTTACCGTTTTGTCTGTGTATGTTTCTTGATGGAGAAGAAAGTGGAAAAAGATACCAAAGTCAATTGCCTAGTTATTTTGAGTATAAAGAAAAATGGTGGGAACGATTGTTGTTCATTTTTATTGATGGAATAATAAGAAAAAGGTGGAATCCTGTGAAGAAAGTCGGGAATTTCCTACGATCTCCAATTTCTTACACGTTTCTCGTCTTGTATACAAACTACAAACCAAAAGTCAAACCAAAACCGTTCCCATGTAAGGAATTCGTGAGATTGTGCTCCACGTAAGGAATCAAAGTGCTCGAGAAATCCTTGGATTGAGAGTTGGCGTTTTTCATGAGGCAATTACTATTTGATCTCGTTTTTCAGAATTTATAAATATTTGATACCAGCAATTCAGACGGGTTTTGTTGCCCAGTCAATCAAATTCGTTTTTGGTCTTATCAGCAAAGATTGTGAGTAGTTTTGATGGCTTTGCAAAATTGGGTTATACATCTTACAGCGACAAATACATACAAGTGTGTTGGCAAAAAATTCAAAGATATGTCATTCATTTTTTTGTAGATTTTTTTTTCATATTGGGTTTGTATAGCGTTTTACTTGTATGTGTGTGTATCCACATATCTAATTCTGTCATTTCTATGTCAAGTTGTGTATACTTATATGTGTCCCAGTTTGGAATCGAGAAATTGGAAACTGAGCTCCAATTATTTTCTGCTCCAACAAAATGTCTCATTTAGATTAAGCGTGGGTATTACATCGAGGCTCCAGGGAATGCCGTAAATCCGAAAGTATTTTTACCTCAGCCGTTTCGATTTACCTTCGTGGTAGAAACGTTTGTTGAAGACAAAATCAGAGCTGGCATTTTCTTTGCCTGTTCTCATTGACTCACATAACATAGAATTGGGCATTCTTTTAAAAATAATATCTTTTTTGTAAAAAATATAGATATTTTTATTTTGCACTCCACAAAACATTACAATCTAGTTTTAAAACTGCAGCTATTTACTTGCGCCAACCTATTATTTCATCTTTATTTGCCTGAAATAGAGATTGTTTCATTCAACATTGAAATATATATAAGTGAGTGAAACTTTTGAAGGCATTAACACCAGTTTATCGATATATTCTCAATGTGAGTGCAAATCCGATTTTTCGTTTCAATTTTGATCTGAAATTCAATTTAGGAAGCAGTTATACATTTATACTCCACTTGGATTAGTTGGTGTGCGTACCTATTCTACGTCGTGGATGGAATACGTTTACACATCACTATTTGAATTATTGAGTTATAAGAGTGTTTGATTTGGATTCGATATCGAGCTGCACTTATATATTTCGAAGGCGACGCCTAGAGAGACATCAATTTACGACGGCTTCGCTGAATTCCAATAAGTCTGGAAGCAGAATTCCTTCAGCCGGATCGAGCTACATACGTATAGGTTACGTGAAACCAAATAAATACAAAAACCCCTTATACCTTCTTTCTCGGTAGAGAGCCAGCGGCCTTGTGGATTTTACCTTCACGGATATGGAAGAGCGGAAGGAAATTTTATTGAAAATTGATTCTGTCCATGAATGATTTCATAATAATCGTTTTTCTTGCTTTCAAAACTTGGTTGAGATTCTTGCTCGAGCAGATATATTAAAGGATATTAGAGCACATATAAATCTTATGAGAATGAGGTTGAGATTCAATTGGACTTTGCTCAGTACTTATACCAGAAAAGACTGGTCATTGTCAACCCAGATGAGACATGCCGAACTGCATACATTCAGTAGACATGCATGAATATTGTTGTGGTTTTCATCAGTTCAGAATAGAATAGTCCTAAGAATGTATCTGGGATGTGTGAAGGGTGTCAAACAAAACAATGTGAGACGTGCAACAATAATTCTGTAGGGATCTATACGATCACTTTCTTGAAACGATCATGTAAATTTGTAAAATCATTCAACAGGAACCGTTTTGGTGGATTTTGGAAACTTGAAAACATTTCTTTAAACGTATCCTACCAAGCTCGGAATTTTTCCATTCTTTCCTTGGCACTTTAACAACTCGATAACGTGATTTGCATACATAAAAATAGTAACGTCTTTCCCTTTCTCCGTTTGACACACTTTCAAGAATTTTATTCATGTGTGGCTGGTTGAGTTTTTCTTGAGCAATGCATCAACAATCAATATTTTTCCCTAGTTTTCCATCTTCGCTTGTTCTAGTGGAAGCGACTTTGGGTAGAGATTCCTCGACTCGAGATGGGAATACACGTCATGTCAACCAACACCTAATTAGTGGAATGATCTTGTTTCACTAATTAACTTGAACTTATCTTATTTTTTTCCTTCCAGGACCTCCACAAGTTTTGCGACATGCGGTTGAGAAAGAAGTTGCCGTTGAGAGGGGCAGCGACGCAGCCCTTGCAGTTACATTCTGCTCTAACCCCGGCCCTACGAAAGCCATCTGGGAATGGGGATCAATGAGTAAGTAATGGTATTTTGCCAGGTACTTTATTTCATTTTTTATTTCATTAGGAAAGCGTTAACAAACGAAATTTAGAAAAATACTTTTAATTAAATGACGAGCTTTCTCCACCCGACTTCTTCTTTGGTGTTGTGGGCCTAAAATCATCATCATCATCATCTTCGACAACCCGTTTGGGTGCCAAAGGAACCCTTCGGTCTCGAATCTTTTCCTCCTAGACACAAAAACTGTTTCGATAATAGATTATAACCACATAATTATAATAATAATATTGAAACCTGGTTATTTTTTACGTACTTGTGAAAGTTTGTCCAGCTCTTCACGGGCTGCTTGTCTGCCCAGCTTGTCCAGATTGCCAAGAACTTTATGCAGTTCGTCCAGATTGTCGGGAATTGGCTCATTAGCGTTTTCGTTTTTGTCCTCCCATTTGGCCAATGGTCTGAATCCTGCTGTCTCAGCTCTAGCCATACGTCCAACATCTAAAACGCATAAACAACATGATTTTAAATTCTTCCACTAGTTTTTGAGAAATTAGCGATTGACACTTGAGCCCAGACCACTATGTACAGAAGGATATAACAATACCTATACCTGATTTTCTCCAATCACGGTAGATAATAGATCTTTGAGGCGTCTTTGAATGCTGGTCTTTGAAGTCTGACCTTAAAATGGCTTCCTGAATCTCTTCCTTTTGTTGTGTACTTAAAACGTAAGTCGATCGAAAATTCTAAAACATAAAATGAAATACTTGAAGCCTAGTATTAAAAATTGTTTAAAGAGTATGTTGAGATGTGTACAGAAAAGATGGGGTTCAAGAAATGTTCTCTGGCATATACTTTGTATGCCCATATTTTCTCGTTGAATTTCCTCTTGAATTCCGGATAAGTCTGGCCCGTTTTACGCGCATCTGGTGTTACAATAAGAAGCGTTCTCGCACCTCTGTGATCTCCCTTACACAGCCCTTCAGATTCAAAATCCCTGCATAAACATATCAGTAACATATTTTAATTGGTATAAAACTGTATAGTTAATATCCGAATACTACAAATAACTTACATTACAGCACATCGAGAAGTGTCGCCGTGGTGTGAATTTGCGGCTCTGTAGGCGTGATACAACTTAGACAAACCAACGTACATTCCAACCTGCTCATTTGTGCAAATTAACTTCAATCTCTCTGCCCATATTTGACATTGACCGTCTTCGAGAATGGCATTAATACCAGGTGTTTTGTGATCTTTTGTAATATGATAGTTTAAAGCGCGCGCAGATTTACAACGATAACCACAATCAGGAACCACGCATTCCTCTGGATTACTTTGATCATGTACTTTTGAAAAATGACGACCATAATTTTGAGCGGTTTTACATGAAGTGTTACACAATGTACAAATTTTTAAGTTAGAATCCCACACCATTATGAACTGGTTAACCAGAGGGAGAGTTATTAATTAATTAATTGATTGTATGATAACAAGTTAGATCAGGAGGAGAAAGAAAGTGTACTAACTCAGACTAGAATGTAAACACGACTCCAAAAATCCGCCTCCGTTTGTAGTTTGACATGGGGAATACTATTACATTTTTGTTTATGAATCTTAATTATTACTAATATACCGATTTTGAATTAGAACTCGAATCTGGATATGAGATGGGGCGATTCACTGCGGAGAAAATCGAGAAGGTACGTATACACAGTAAATAAATCAAATTTATGAGATTTGTTGTCTCTCTAGTTTTACATATTGCTACACACGGCAGCTCTATGCATCCAGTTATGCGGCTGTTAGAGTGAGGAGGAAAGTGTACAATGAATGTGGTGCAACGCATAAATGCATTATGTGACAATCCAATCCGATAACAATTTCCTCTCTTCTTGGTGTCTTCGCCATTGAAATATTCAAAGTGCATTTCTCCTGCCCTCCTCCTGGAACATATTGGAGGCAGAAATTATGGGAAGGAGGAATACCCTTTATTCATGCTGCCAGCCATTTTCCGAGCCCGTGATGGAACCCTTTTAGTAAATGTGGACAAGTTGTGTGTGTGTCGTCGTCGTACGGGTGGAAAAGGTGGTAAGAATGCATACTCAAAACCAGGACAATGGATTTGGCGATGAAAATTCAAACTCCAACACTCGATCTGCTCGAGTGCTTCTTCACTTTTAACTGCTTCTTTCCTCGTCTCCTTATTACGTTTGGTCTTTTTTCCGTATGTTACTTACTGGCAATAGCACCATTTCCATCCACCAACTACTCCTTGTTCACAATGTAATACGTACAGAGAGCCTGAACATGTGGGAATTTCATTCAAGTGTGGAGGAAGGAAGTTTTGTCGTTAATTTATAGGGAAGTGTGTGCCAAACGACGATTTTTATTCTGGTAGTGCTGGCCAATGTAAGAACAGGAGGAATGGGTCGTCCCGAGTATCGATGGATAGGTTGTGTTCGTGGTGGAGTAGTTGGTGCAAGGAGCTTGTCCTCAGATCGTGCAATAAGACGAAATCAAGAAGCAACCGGGGAGAGAGAGAGATCTGCTGGAGGATGTAAGTCTTGCGATTGAAAGAGTGGGTCTCCACAGCAGAGAGATTAATGGTGGTACTCAAAGTACGATGAGGAGAATCGAGTCGGGCGTTTGGGAATTTCCAATGTATGCAATCCAATACTTGACTATGGAATTTCGGAAGCAACTTTTCCTGGACTTGGTTGGAACCAAAGAAAGAAAAAAGGCTCAAACAACAACAAGCACAGTTCTTTTTTTGCATTTTTAGCATTGCGGAACATGCCCAACTACCGAGTGACAGGAGTAATTTAGAATGTCCAAACTATAGATTTCCGAATCCATGATATTTTTGTGAGTCGCAGTTATCTGAACACTTTTTGAGACAAGTAAAAGTATTTTGAAGACCCCTCAGATGAAGAACTCAACATTTTTGTATGGAAATAATTTTATACGGAGATGAGAAAGCAGAGAACATTTCCTTAACAAACCCACCACCGCCCTTCCGTCGGTCTCGGCACCTCGGGTTTTGCAAGAGCAACAGAAGGGAGGAAATAGCCGTGCTGAAATATTCATTTCCCCGAAGGTTCAGAGTTCAAGAAAGCTGACAAATTATGGAAATTTACGAGGATGTTGATACAATAAACCCGGGTTTTCGGAGTGACCAGACCACGACCGTTGGCCCTGACCCCACTATTTCAATTAAATTATCGGGACTACACAAGCTGTTCAGAGTGGATTGCTAGGGGTTGCTTTTTGGTTAGCTGGATGTCTTAATGGATACAATTAGGAGATTTCTCATAATAAATTATTACCAACATCAAGTGTGTTGGGTTCATCCCCAAGTTCAGCTCAATTGCATTGCGATATAGTACAACAAGCAAACCTTCACCGGTCAAGAGGGGAACATTTTTACTAGATGCCCGGCACATGTTCTTCAGTGTTGTTTGTCGTATTGATGGTGTTTTATTGTGTCATAAATCTCTCGCTTTGTTTGTGTGGGAATAAAAATGCAACCCCCAATTATTTTGAGAGGCAATGTCCCAAACAAACCCCAAAAACACACAACATACATTACATGCACACACATATAACAAATTGTGGGTGTACATTTTTTCTGATTGTATTTTTAGGGCCCTCGTACAGATTGTTACGAGGCACGACTGCGAGTATCTCGAACTGATTCTGCAGATTCGCGAAATTATTACCTCAACATTGAAAATTCAAAAGGGAATGACAGATACTCTGTTGTACTTCAAGTCAGAGGTGAGTTTATATCACACATTAAGTATGCAATTTTAATAATATGGGATCATCCACAAAGCGACCTTTGTTATAGTTTCAATGGTAGTAAATTGCATGCTGAATTAGTCGAATACATAGCTTTGTGTACGATCCCAGGATACATTTCTTTGTGTCCGCGGAAGTCCGCAATTTCATAAACTGTTTACAGGATTTGATTTTATAACATTCGCAGACCCTGTGTCCATGGCGACGGTTATTGGAGTTATCATCGGATGTTTGATTTTACTAGTCGTCGTCTCAATGTTTATTGTTTATGCCTTCAAAGCAGAAAAGTGGTGCTTCTCTAGTAAGTGCTTCTCTTTCTCTCTCTTTATTCACTAACAATTATTACCAGTTTATATGCCATGTTTCCATTTTCACTAAATTATTCAAATTAATTAGCTAATGAACTCGTCCTTCTTGACGCAATCTATCGCATTTTCATTCAACTATTTACCTACTAATCTCTCAACCACCTTGTCTAACGTGAAACGACTTTCTTGTCTGCACCAACCAAACAAATGCAACATTATTCCTTGTAATTATGTAGTAGTTCTATCGGTAGTAGTTGTGTGACTAATTATTATTGTTAACTGTGTGGTCTTGTCTTTTGTGTGAACATGTTTTGTCATTTTGCAGCGTGGTACGGACCCTTTCATCTTGAAATGGGTGAATTTTGCTGTTACATATACACACAATCATATACATACATAGCTCATGCAGCACACTGCATTATTGGCATAAACGCAGTTTTGATAAGTACCCAGAAACAAAAATATGCATGAAAATATGTACGCTTGTTCTGTGAGGAACTGAATTCTGCCGAATTTTTAGTATGAAAAATATGTAGGTGTTTATGGCTTTCACAAAGTAATTTCAAACCAATGGTTTTTAATTTTTGCTGCCTTTTATTTACTAGCTTGGTAACAAATCCGCCCGGTTTTAAAACTAAATATTACCCTGCATTGTTAAAATTTTACAATGTTTCACACATGGTAAGATATCGATGCACATGCTGTAACAGCCCCTAAATTGCCATAAAAGTTTTGACGGGTACTTTGTCCAGTAGTAAAGTTTTCTTGAGGTAATTTATTTTTATCAAGAAGTTACATACATAAATGCGGATGTACACATGTACTCTGAGAAATCCTCCTTCATAACACCGCCTTTAAAACAGAAGCCGGCCTGGAAGGTCGAGTTTTGAAGAATCAATTGACTCGTCATTCACTCTTCTACGTAATCCATGCTTGCACGTATTACATTTTGGGCGAAAAATAAGTAGGAATTTGAGTATAAACCATTTATGACTTTTAGACTCTTCACCGATAGGAACAGCAGGAGTTGGATTTACGAGGCATGGATGCTTTAAATGTGTTACCACTGTTACTCAGAGATTATAAAACATGTACATTTCGAAATTTAACTTTTATTTCCTTGTTACGGCAGTAAAATATTCTCATTTATGAAATCCGGTGTAGGTAATTTACAAAAGCTAAATATTTACTTTAGCTTAGGCTGGTGGTAGGGGATGATTGATGAGTTGTAAATATGTCAGGTTTCCTTTGAAATATATGGACTGAGGAGTCGATATGCACGTATCTTTCTGCACTTGTGTAGCTAATTTATGATCCATTACATTTCATTAACTTTTTAGTCATCAAGCATTGTCATATATTCTAATTTCAACAATGATTTTTCAATATATTTACAAGTTGTTCATATAACTCAACAATGCAGAAAATTCATTATTAAAAAAACTCCATGAGACAGAAATACTGAAACCAACGCATAGACGCATGACTCAGTTTGACATTAATACTGATCAAGCAGGAACACATGCAGACAGCGGCAAGAAAGATTGATTGGCATATGAAAATATTGAAATTTTTACTTTCTGCATTGTTTTAGTGTGGGTAAAATCCAGTTGAGATAACTGAAAGTCATCAAAAATTTCTGGCCAACTAACTTTTAAAGTCAAACAGCTTTTATGGCACAGTGGGTGTCTTGCAGGCTCAAAAACTTTGGTTAGCTTTAAGTATTAAACTTGAGAAGCATTATGCTTTGACTTTGTGATGCGGTTTGACTTGGCTTGACAAACGAGAACTATTATTTGAACAGTGGAAAGATTTTTTTAAATCACAAAGGTGAGCCTTCATTTCATTTTAAAGAGTTTTACTTAACGCGTAAAGTCCAACATTTTTGACAATGAGGAGGTCGACATTTTTTCAAACCAATTACAAACAGAACGCAATAAATGTTTTATTTCGATAAATTACTTGTAAATATTACATGTTTTAAGGGTGCATACATTCTCATATATAAGTAAATATTGGCGAAAGGGAAATTACCATCTGTATTAATAAAACGTTGTTTTCCTCTCTTTCTTTGCTTAATACACACTTGTGCAGCTTTATCTTGTTTTTTTATTCCTATATTTTCTTGTTAATTTGAATACTGTTCTGCCTCTGTACTCTTGCACCTCCAGCCCACACCACCAAGAAGGTTCATGAATTTATCGGTTTTGTGTTTTTTATTTGTAATCCTTACAGAAAGCGATTTCAAGCCAACTGATCTCGAGAGGTAAATTGAATCAAAGTTGTTCATCGTGTTCAAACTTTTTGTCATCTTTTTATTCTTTTCAATTCTTTACTTGACTGATCCTTCAAAATTAATTAAAGCAAAAGTTTTTTGTTTGTTTTTGCATTATGAGTTTCTGCCAGACAGTATACAGTCGAGGGTCTCTTGTGATGTAAAAAAAGTGGTTTTGCAAACTTTCTCCACAGCTCTTATTGCTAACTCAGTGATGTGACATTAACAGTTTGCGTAGGCGTTGAAGAAAAGCTTATATCGTTTCGTGTTTGGTCCTATCAAGTTTTGTCGGTCTGCATTCTATTAGAAATATTACCTCACGAGTATTTCCTAACAGAATATATATTTCCTGCATAAATATGTATGCACATAAATACATATTTATTGTGTAACTACATTTTTATGTACTTTGTACATTTGAAATGGCTGAGGCAAAAAGTTTGAAATATTTTTAACGCAAAGAGAAATTTATGGCTTATTTTGTTTTGTAGTAGAAGCGATTGATGAACTAATCACGTTGTTTTTGTTTGATTTTTCGTGTGTTTTCACCCACTGTGTTGTCTTCACCTTTCTTCGCCTCCTCCATACTAATCCCTCCAGTGAGAAAAGCGACTTGGAAGGAAGCGATCGAAGTTCCAGCCATGTGCACCATCCCAACGGGAAAACCACTGGCTTTGCTACCATCCCCACCTCGGAGATGCAATTCAGCCATCCGCAGAAACGAAGCTCCCGACCCCCAGATCCAATTCTTCCACAGGATATCCAAATTATGAAGGTACACGCCGACAAACCAAACGGCAGAGATGTTGAGGTTAACAATGGTCGGCGACGATCATCTGCCAATTCAACTAAGAGTGGGATAAGCAACCACCAACTCTCTCCCCAAAATATTCCACCTCATCAGCCCCAACAACACCGCCCTCACCACCCCCACGCTCGATCTAAAGACATTTCTAAGCAAAACATTATTGCAAATCAGAAGCAAGTTGTTCCCAAAAAGTCTGGTGGTAAACTGGACAAGGAGGAAAACGTTGTGCAATACTACCCTCCATACAACGTTCATAACCCAAATGTGTCCGTGAGACTTTCCGACTCGCCAGAAACTTTTGGGTGGGCGTACGGCCATGGGGGAAATAGTTGTGATGCTAACCATTGTAGCAGTTGCATAATTAACGCTACCTCGCAGGGGCATAATAATGGGGGACAAGTTTACAACAATGCGGGCACGAACTCTTTGAATAGGTGATGGTTGCTAAACAAACCAAAAAGTAGTAGTTGCAACTCCTCTACTCTGACTCAGGATTGCACTAATAATCATTATCCTCATCGTATTGTTAGTTCTTCAAAGAAAACTGAGAGTTCAAATCCTAATTTTAAAAGTAATTCTATTTCTTTTAAAACCTCACCTGTGCTCAACCCGCCCCCAAATCTGACAGACGAAGAAATTGAAAGACTTTCTCCTCCGCTCCCTCCTCCCCCAAATTATTATTATTGTAAAGCCCCTGACAAGCCCAACGGCAGAGGTAGCATCAGGGTCTAAATACTTAAATAGTATGTGGTAGAACATAGGATGACTTACTTCCTTCACCTTTCACTTGAATTAAGAAAACGATATCCTGTTACCTATCTGAGCTATGCGCTGTAGTTATACGTACAACTTAGTAATAATTACTCGAGTAAAATACTATGCTTAATTTTAACTACCTAGAATATGTTGTGATTGTAACCATATTTAATATTTGCCTCGTGTGTGAGGAAAATCACTAATCACGCCACGCCAAAAGCAAATTCGAGAGCACTAATCAACTTTTCCATGCAACACTTTGCTGCGGACATTCTTCTGTCCTCGAGCAGAAATTAAATTCTAGGTACTTTCTTCAAACTCTTTACTAAATGTGCTTTCACTCCTCTTAATTTGTTTTTATTGTGTTTTTGTCACCATTATTATACACTTTACATATGCTTTGGTGTACTTTAGCCTTAAGTATGGTTTCCAGATTAGGTTTGTTTACCAATTGTTGCTTTGGTTTGGTCATTTGCATTTTCATTTTGCAATGCACATTTCATGCCATAGGAATTTAAGTATTCAAGCTTCTTTGTGTGTCCCGTTGTCCATTTATTTTATAAAAGTGTGTTGTTTTTTTGTGAATGTAATTTAAGTTGTTGTGTCTGTATATATCTAATACGTCCCCCTTGACATAATCAAAGGGGTTATTTGCTAATAAAAAATTTCTGTCACAGCGAAACGACGACAGGAGCTTCCGAGGGAGAACATACTGTGTGGATTCAAACCTCAATAAGCAAAACGTAAATGACCTTCAGCTACGTGTAAGTCAATATTAATTTATTTGATAGTAATTTGTGAATTACTTTGGAGTTGATAAATTATATTTCTACAATAGATGGATATCCAACAACTTCCCAGGACCAGTAACAATGGTTCAATGAAAAAGAGCAACCGACACCAACATCATCCTACTGCAATCCCAAGAAATATTCCCATATCCTACGCCGAGATTCAATTCAAGCCCAGAAGCAACGAACAAGCGGAAGTCTAGCCAAGTTAACTTAACACAAATTAAAAAATTATCAGTCTTATTATTATTATAATTATTTGTAATTTTAATTATTCCTAAGATAAAGTTAGCAATATGTGACAGTTTCTGTGAAGTGCTTTAATTTTCATTATTATATTATACACTTTAGCGTGATGCTAAATACTTACAATGCTCTACACAGACCTACATGACCTAAGTTACCGTCTGTGTTTAGTTCATATCATCGTTGAAGCCCCGTATGAATGAATCTGCGTCTTCAACGACGATATATGAAAGTGTGTATTGTATTATAAAATGTATAATTGCGTTGTAAATTTGTATTTAATGAATACCGATCTCAAAATATGAGTTAATATGAAGCCTTTACTTTTGTGACACTGAAAGTCGTTCAATTTATACTCTACTTTAATTGCGCATAAATTTATTCTTCTTTATCCCGTGCCAAGATGAGCGTGTGTAACTCGTTAAAATCTGTTTTCTTGTATCTGCATCAATGACAATTAAAAGTTGATTAAATATTATTTATTAGAAAAATAAGTCATTATTTTTGTCACCTTCAGAACCCTTTGAAACCATTTATCGTTGTCCATAACTGTATAGTTATTAGTATTTTGGTGTCAGGTTAACCATGCATGCAATTGGAAGATTGATTATGAAAATTAACAGCACGTTTGTCAATATGTTGGTAGCATTAATTTAATATTACTGTAGCTAACTAACCAAAAACATTTATAAATTTTGTACAAAAATACAGCGGAATCCGCAGCAGTTATTTCTATGAATAAGAAACAAGTTTATATGTATGATGAACAGAGCATTGAGATCGGAAAGGTGCGATCACCTTGTAATTAAAAATAAATTTCTTAAGACAGTCACGCCAATATTTAATTTAATAATTTTTCGATATTTAAGATATAAAATACTTTAATTAAATATGTATATTTACGAAGTCCTGAATTTCTGAAGTTAATAAGTAACTAAGCCTTATCCATGTGAGTAAGCAGTGTTGTGAACGAGATATGAGAATGGATGTCAAACTCTGCAATACAAGTACTATAAATTAGCAGAATTATAAGTATATTTGAGCTCAGAATAATTCTAAACCCCAGATAAATACATAACGATATTGTTACAAGCATTTCGAGTCATCCTCCTCAGTATCAATTAATTTTATACCATGATATGTATTTAAATGATTAGCCATCATTAAATTAGAAACAAACCACGTTAATATTATTCTTATTCTTGTTACTAATACTCTGGCATGGAATGATGTGACACGAAAATGAGCCAAACTTAATTATTGTTGGCACAGCAGCGTGAGTGTTCTTAGTCGTAATGATTACGATACATGTTTGGTCAATTTAAAATCTGTATTTGTCGTAATAAATAAAAATGCTTTAACAAGTTGTACTTATGACATTATCACTTTATTTATATTGGAAGCATTGATCGTCTGCATAACACATACATAAATAATATACAAACGGGTAAAAGTATCTATTTTATAAAACTTAGGATTAGCAATTAAACTCAGAAATTGTATTTCAATTTCGTATCATTTGTTTCAGCATAAAAATCCTCGCTTTTTCGTCGAAAGATGTAACAAAATTGTTTTTCAAATATGTATTTCAGGTATTGCGTAAGTATTAACTGAAGTATGGATAGAGAACATTAATTCAACAACTAATGCATACATTAGCCAAAATCGGTATATTGCTTTGGCGTCTAAATGTGTACTTTCACTCAGCAGGGGGGTTGTGTGCTATCACTTCACGGATCTCGATGTCCTTTAAATATGTTGTAGTACCCGACGAATGAACAAGAACCTCCATGTGGTTTGATGCCATGGCCACATTTGCGCCCGCTAAACCCACTAAAAAGTGCCCATAAAATGGAGAAAGTAGTGCTTTCACTCATTAAAATCAACGCCAAAAATCCAATTTTACTCGGATTTTGAAAATCTGTACACCATTATACCACCAAATAGTTGTTTTCTTATACCCAACATCAAAATCAACTTTTTTGATGATTATTTCGTAGGCATAATTGGCGTTGTTTATTACTACAACAATGCTCATCCAGAATTTTAAATTTTGAAACTACTAAAAATTTAAAAAATTTCAGTTTGATGTTGGATATAAGAAAACAACTATCTGGGAGTATAATTGTGTACGGATTTTCAAAATCCGAGTGAAATTGAATTTTTGGCGTGGATTTTAATGAGTGAAAGCACTACTTTCTCCGTTTTTTGGGCACCTTCGAGTGTGGCGGGCGCAAATGTGGCCATGACATTAAACCACTTAGGGGTTCTTGTTCATTCATGTGACAAAATATCCAAAGGGGATCGACATCCATGAGTTGTTAGTACACAACCTACCCCCTGAGAAAATACTTAGACAAAGCTGAAAATTTCCTCCGGTAATCAAAAAGAACATAATACGAAAATCTGCAAAGCTTTTGGTTATGTGCTTATCTTATTTATTTAGACACACCAGATGAAAAATTTCACTTGCTGCACTTAAATGGAAAGGAAACTTCCCCTTCCACAGTACTTATGCCTTGAAACGACAAATTACATTCTTGTACCAAATATAATGGTCAAACTCTAAGCAAGAGAACTGACATATTTCTGTAAGGATTCCTTATTATTTTATTGTAATGACATAATAATTAGTCTACTTATTATTCAATTTTATCCAAAACCTTGTCACCAAGATTTTAATAAGCACTCTGCGTCACAGTCAGTCCACACAATGCATGAAAGTTTGTGCATAAAAGGAACAAAGGAGGGATGGGTAAGCCAGATAATAAATAAGCAACTCATCCAAGAGTTCAAATGTTGATTCATGCTAATATTGAAACCACATCTTCTTGAAACCGAATTATGAATTATTTTAATTTCTCGTGTGCATACAAAACTAAATTAATTAACAAGCTTCTACAAGTTTAAAACAGAGCATGTCATGATCCAAAAGTTGACTCATGCCGTCCATGATCCGCTATTGTCACTCAGCGATCTTGGTTGGAAAGGTATAAAAGCAAATGATGCCGAGGATGTAGTTTTGTAACAGAGAAAGTTGGAGCACTCACTCAGTCAACCATTTCCACGAAATTCTGGCTAAAATATAAAACTAATTGTCAGGCGCCAACATGTGGAAATTAGTATCGTTAGCGGTTCAATTTTTCATGAGTCGTGTAAGTAGCATTCAATTCATATAATTTATGCAAGCGCGTTCTAAAATTCTGATGGTGTGGTTATGACAGGCAGGGTGTTTACGGGTGAGCTGGAGAAAGTCCTTGACGGAGAAAGTGACGCTGGATGACGGCACAAGCGACGGACCGCACGAGAGATCTTTTCTAGAGTCGACAATAAGTAAAAGCAGAATTCATTCCTCTTTCTCCCTCAAAGTTGGATATCATCGCAGCCGACTTTCCTCCTTTGAGCCCTTAATTAGCGAACCTTGTGTGTGAATTATGTATGAATATACATATGCGGACGTACAATAATAACTTTAATATACTTTTATATTAGAAATTTATTTCATCCAATGTGAATGCTGTATATATGCTGAAATAATGATAATAATATTGATTTAAGGAAGTAAAAAATAATTTTCAATCTCATTGATTAAAATATTCCGCAATGTATATAAGAATCCGCATTTAAGTGCATAACAATATTAATATTGGAATAATTTACTGGAATTTACATGCACAGAGATGACTACGAGCATTCATCAGTGTCAATCAATCATATAAATATTTAAAAGTTACAAGCCATATTGATAGCGGATTAAAATTTACAAAATTGTCAGAAAAAAAAAATTTAATTAAGTTAAAGCAACAACGAATTTCAAAGCCAAACTGAAATTTCGTTTAATTTCTTCCTCTTCAGGTCAGGGACAGTTGCGCCATGCGCAGGGTAGCCAACTGGCAGTAGAATCTCTAGTTTTTCATTTTTTGGCCTCCCCAATAAAGTTCGAAGTGCAGGACCACAATTAAGAGGCGTGCTAAAAATATTGACAAATAAACCGTTGTAAACGAACATACAGAAGTAGCGTCAAATCGATTAAAACTTCCTTTAAAATGGCCCTTCGCATTAAAATTAAGGTTCAGTTTATGTTTGACCTCTCGCCAAGGGCATCTTCACTGTGACATCAGTGACCTTATGTCCGAGTTTGACCGAGGTCATAAAATTAGAAACACGATTTTGAAGACCGCATTTGAATATGTTGAAGCGTTCGAGAGCTATCTTGCTACCAGACGGACAAAACGACCACAAGAAATACTGACGCTACTTACTTTATAACTCCTGGTAAAGCTGTGATCTATATTAATAAATATAAATATTTACCTCGTCAGAGTGACTAGACCAGCATGCTGAATTGCAGCCAGGAGTATTCCTGTAGCAATGCAGACACTTTCTTCGTTGTAGTAATGATTGATTCTCTTTTCTGGATTTTCTGGATTGAACCCATAAACTTGTTTAAAAACAAGAATGAGGTACGGCGCATCCGTTAAATATTCTTTGTGCCAATCAGTTCGGAGTGGCCTATGCAAACATCAGGACATAAATTAGTTAGTATAATTTGTAACCACTCTAGTAGACATTGAAAGGGATTCGTCAAATTCGTTGTTGCAAACATACCTCAGATCAGAGGTCCACTGCTTCCCCATTCGTTTCTTGTAATTTACTTCTTCCTCATTTTCAATTACTTTTCGAATTGACTGCTTCAAACTCTTGTCCGAGATACATGCAAAAGTCCAAGGTTCCGTATGCGCCCCTGATGGAGAGGTCCCTGTGTCCAATTATTTAAGAAAGCAGTTGTAAGTAAATGGATGCATAAATAAGTCTTGTAATGATCGCTATTAATGACGACTTGCCTCCTGCCTTAATTATGTTTTCGATAACCTCCTTTGGAACGTCCTCTTGGGAGTAAAATCTCAATGTTCGCCTATTGTTCATTTCTTCATAAAATGCAACTGATCTCTTAATCATTTCCTGCTCGGAGTAACGCTTGTATGTAGTTAGAGGAATATGATGTAGGTCATCAGGAAGGGCGCTGGCCATCATGGCGTTGTCTTCCACAAAATCATCTTCGTTCACTTCCGCTTCTGGGGAGATAAAATTTCGAAAAGTCATCAGACACAGAATTTAGTCTGAAATTTTATGATAACGGTTACATTATGTACCTCTGTCAGGAGTTTGATATTTTTTCTTCAGGTTTTGCTTGGATTTCTCCTTGTTATCCGATTCAGATTTCTTGTCTGGATTTTTTAAATTTATGAAATACACTGCGGAAAAGTAAACCACCACTAATGCCAAAATCTGAGGCCAGTAGTTATAAAACAAGGGGGCAGAATTTTCAATCGACATTTTGTCCCAATGAGTTATGCTTAATTTTGATTACTTATTGAAGCTGACTGCTCTTAAAGAACACGTTGAGACGACTAATCGATAAGACGGCATAAAAATAACCTTTTACCACCAGACTTGACTTATCATTGAAGCGTACTCGACTGTGACCATATATAATTCATGCACTTTAATAAATCTAGAGGCATCATATTATGCAATAGTTCGACACATCAATAAATGTAAGTAGTTTACCTTCCATATTTGGATTTTTGATCAAAATTAATTAGTCGTCAATGTGCATACTTGAACCAAGAAATTACATCTCAGGTCACTACATAAGTTGTTTTCTATGACGTAGCCAGCTCAAAGCAGTTTCAGTTGACATTGGTCGTTATATCATTTCCATGCATTGTAAAACACCACATACATACATCTGTATGTACACTTTAGTGAGATTGGTTAATGGTGTGTTAAAGAAAAATTGTTTAAATGCGTAGTTGTCATTCTGTATGCCATCATTTCTTAATAAATAAATAGAGCTGACCACTGATACTCACTGCATAATATTTGATCCATATAATACTTGATCTACTTAAATCGATCGATGCAGCATCAGTCAAGTTCTGATAAACAGTCACGTAATTTATGGCATACATATATGCCCATATGAATTTACTTTTACTTGTGATCCGGCTTAAACGAAGCACGATCACGTTGACAAACCAGTACTCAAGACAGACTTGTAAACCTACAAAAATGGCGTCTGAGTAAAAAAGCGAGTAAGCCACTTATTCATCTCAGACAAATTGTCAGTATACGCAACTTTTCGCTTCGATTTCATTAGTGGACCTTCATTAGTTGACCATTGCTCAACTTTGAACCCCAAAAGCCATCTGCACTGCCCACTTTCGACTGGAATGCAACAGGTGTCGTAATACTGATCGTTTCGGCGTTCATTTCGGAAAATCTCACAGCATTGCATAATAACCAATCAGATCTCAGACATGGTCTGGTTCTCACTGCAATTATATGTGTAAACATTCCATCATTGCATAGGTTGCTGGTACAGGAAAACTTGTGGAAAACTTGCGGTAGTTCTGTCTAATGTCATCATGACTAATCCTCAGCGTAGGGGGGAATATATCTCGAGTTATAATACGTAGGAAAATACGAGTGAAGAAGAGCAGGTTCTTGGCTGCTGGAGTAAAAGGGTTGAGAGAGGCGAATAGATGGGACGAACGATGAGCAAAAAGTGAAATGCTATAGCGCATCTGCGCCAAGTAAAAGAGAGCACGTTGAAACTGCTGGATTCCGCTATGTTATGCATTATTACACAACATGTGTCCGGGTTAAAAAAGTATGGAGCGCTAACCAAATCTGTAGCGTATAAAGTTTAGTGGTGGATTTAGGTAGTTAAGTTTCTGAATAATATTATTCGCTTGGTGCTAATATTGCTAATGCGAGCTACAAATTGCATCGCCCGTCTCCGTGTGTGCTGGGAGATGGGAGGAGGACTCGTATAAATAGACAACAACTGAACATACAGTGAATCTCAAGGTGCTTCCCCGAGCCAAGATCAGAAAACGCCTATACCATACAAAACACAATACTGCATACTATGTAGACCACCAGTTGTACTCTAAACTTATGCAATACGTAATCACATTGTTTGTGCGAATGTGCGAATCATACATTAATTGTGCGCTGGGCATTCTACATTGACACACGGTCGTGCATTTTCATTTGGTCGCATTTTTGTGCCAGTCTGTCAGACCTTTATGATTTGAAATGCTTTTCATACAACTGAAAACCGAGTATCATATAACGTGACAGTTTACATGTAAATAGTAACTAAATATACAGACCAAGAAAAGAACCTGAGCAACTGAGTCTTATCTACGTATATCAACCAAAGTGTCTCTCGATCCATTTAATTGGACAAACTGTAGTACTAAATAAATATCATCACCAATTAATTGCCTTAATAATTATTATACACAAAAGACAATATTTGAAGTCAACTATCCACCCCAAAATACCTGACAGACATTCGCATTCACATTTTTACCTTTTCGATGTCAACATGTAGAAAAATAATTTTTAAAACCTGGACGTAATTCTTTGTCCACGCTTTTGCAGAAATACATAGAACGAGTAAGTTTTTTAAGAGTTTATAATAAAACTTCTTGTTTAGTCCCATATTAATGCTGTCATTATTTTCAGGTTGTAAAGACTACTATGTAAAGCACCCCAAAATCAAGCCCGAGTGCCATACCTATCAAATTCGTATCAAGAGCAACCGTTGACCACAGTCAACAATTAAATGCTGTTACACTTCAGCTGGATTGAATTGTAAAATGCTAGTATGTATGCATAGTACGTATATAGTGTTAAATAATGCTACGAATGTAAAGAGCCAATAAAACTATGTAATAACCAATACTAATCAATTAGAAGTCAGGATTCTAGTTAATAATTTTAAATGACATTTAATATTCAGAGAAATATTCAAACCAATATTTAGTCCTTGTAATTACATGGGTTATTGCATGACCCTGAGCTTTAAGGCGATTTTTTTTTCATTTATTCGTAGAACGTAACATGTCAATTTGCGTACAAAACTAAATAGCGCACATGCCACAACTGTGAAGTCGGTGTCATTTGAGCAATTTAAAAGTTAGTATTGAGACATTACTTTACTAAAGTATGTAAATTTATTGAATAGGCAATTAAAGTTTTAAAATGTAAACACGATAAATTAAAAGCCTTTTTAATATTGCACGTGTCTTGTGCAATATATTTACTACACTTCAATTATCGTAATAATATTGTTTCAATTCAATACCACACTGATTAAAATAGCTGAATTAGAGTACCAATTATAAATCTTCAATACAATGGATAAATCGAAAGTCAATAAAAACATGTGCTCCAGCTCTTCCTACAGCACGAGAGGAACAACCGTCAATAAAAACAAAAGTACGATATCCTTGAAAATGACCCCAGAAACGCCCTCAATTAGCGGAACGGTCTCCAGGAATCAAATGTTGCCACCTATGACCAGATCGACTGCGACGCCACGCTTTGATGAGGACCCTTCAACCAGCAACAACACTTCTACCTCCGAGTTTGTCTCCTTCGAGCTTACAAATTGTAAGTAAAACCTGTGCTTTACAAAAAATTTAGCTTATCCATTATTCATATTTATTTTAAATGCACCTTCATAATAGAAGAAGAACTATGTATACATACACTCCACTGCCGAATTTGTTCACAAGTTCTTCATGATTCGCAAATTATTTTTAAGAAGAGTGTGGCTGCACAGATATTAACATATTTATTTATCCATAAAACATTACATAAATATTTCAAATTGCAATTGTCCTAGGAGTGTTGCATGGCTGCATATCTGTCATGAGCATGGATTACTTGAATCCTGAATCAACAATTCGGGATTTCATTGGAAATGATGATTCTCAGAACAATAGGTGCGATGAAGTGCATTCCAAGTATTAATCGATTATACGTAGATAGGGTGAAGTGAAGTAGTTTGAGGCTGAATAGGTGGTTAATTCCACGAAAGTGGGGAAAGCAAGCGAGCAGCTTTCACCAGTAAGCACATGCACTCAATGTCAAGTAAAATTCATTTCTATGCTTTTGCAGAAATCTCCGAAATTCTTGTGCTCATATGCTCACACCAACCTCTTTGTTCTAAAATTTGAAATTTTAAAGTTGTGTTGCACATCTAAAATGTATCATAAGTATCAATTTCATCGTTTTTGACTTATAGGATTCAGATTGGAATCTCGATATTAATCTATGCATAAAGTAGCGTCATTTTTCTGAAATTCTGTCGTCGGAGTATTTTGAATTAGAACAAAATATGTGTATTGTCTTTCTGTGATTTGTATGTATAGCTATATTTTATTTCATCTTTTGCATACCTATAGTGCTTGAGAATTTATACACTGCACGTAGAATAAAATGCAGTACAAAGTGAACGAAGAGAGAGATAGCGTATCTCTTTTGCGAAATACAAACAAATATAAAGTGGAAAGGCCTACCTCCGGCTCAAGGACGAAATATTCGCAATGTACCCAGCGACTATATACATGCAACATATAGGCATAGCACGGCACACTCGAGTACAAAGTACACAACAACAGTTTGCAAAGTATATGTACATATACACAGTTATTTAGTTAGATACCTTTCGACAAACTTCTTAGCTCGTTGCTAAAAAAAGTCAGCAGGTGAATTATGCTACAATTTAAACTCCTTCGCCACAACAGATTGCACTTCTCTTTGTTTATGCTCAATGTATCCAGCCCGTAGCTGTATATGTGCATCAAAATGAAGTGACAAAACTATAACAGTATGACAATGAATCTTTCTTTTTTGCCTAAATCCACAGAATGAATTTGAACTTGATTCATGAATTAGGTAGCAATTTTGTCAAATAATAATAATTTAATTACAATCCTCGAATTCTGAATTAGTAGAGTATTTACCACTGAATAGCATACTAAAATCCTTCACGACTGGTCTCTTAAGTTGGCATTTTTAAATATCGATATTTTATCAGATTTTAATTCAATCATTGCCCATAATCTGATTGAGATCCATTAAGGTACGACTTTAGTTGAAAAGGTGCACGAGGCTGGGAGAGCCAGTTTGAACTGGTGGAATTCCCTGGACATGTCCGGTTTTTTTGAGGCGTTGCAGATTTTTCCATTTTCATCGGGTTTACCAAAATAGCGTCTTGATTGTTACTTTGAACGATAAAACTAAATATAGTCAAACGACCAACCGCCTGGCAGTCATTAACATTAGACCTTGCCTTACCTCGTGCCATTGTTTCATACCGTACGCATTCTCCATTTGCAATTTGAGCGTGCCATCATCCACCATCAACCAAGTATTTAGTAATAAATATGTGCTAGTAATAGTTGCATGCAATGTACGAAACATACAACCCCGAAACCAAGAAAAGTGGGTCAAATGTCCGTCGAATCGAATTGTGCTTTACCAAATAACCATCACCATGAAAAGTATCCTTGGTAGTTGTGGATGTGGTGATAATCGATGTTCTCTCAGCACAATAAATCGGGGGAGTGGAGTTGCCCGGGCTTCAGCAGGGACGAGTATACATATAAATGCCTTGGACTTGGAGTATTTGAATAATGTCCGAAGGTCAGATCTACAACTACCTGGGTATTCCTTCACATATCAATTTTCATGAATAAAACAAGTCACTTTGGCCAGCTACAGAGTCCTATATGATTTATTATGTATAGTCAAGTTGTCTTTATACGCAAATCTAGTGAAAGCAGATTGATCCCTACGAAAGCTTGCACATGTACAAGCGTGTATAAGGTAATTTTTGTGGGCACATGCCAAACTTTCCGGAAAGAGTGCGACTTTTGTATCCATGTAGCCAGGCTACAAATTCTTAATTGCATTTCTTGGAATTCTTGGCTTTGTTCATTGGTAGACGTAGGTAAAAAGGGACTAGATGTTCATGAGTCATTTCATGATGACAAGGATTCGAAACAGCGCATTCATAAAGCATATTCCACTTTAGAAACTTTAAAATTGAGTCAAGTAGTGCAGTACTCGGTCGATGCATATTGCTGCAAATTTAGTTGGCAAATAGTCAGTTGGCATGTAGAGCTTGTTCAAGGACGTTTGCATGTTGTACATTTTCCATTTATTACATATAAGCGAGAGATCTTATAATGCACATTTTCCGGGTCTAAAACTAAAGGTCATGTATGTATGTAAGTATTGGTTTCATCATAACTTTGTGCCTTTTTCTTACAATTTGAAGACAGTTTGTTTGAGTGTCTATGCGCTTTGTGGTATATAAGTTTGATTCTATCAATTCTTTTTAACTTGCCTAAATAAGAAGAAACTTGTATCGGAATTCTTTCAAAATGTTGGAATTTTTATAAACACATAGAAATGAAGCATAAGTCGACTTTGGATGTAATTTACTACATAAAATTTTTCTAATTTATGTATATCTAAAATAAAGTCAAATATTTTGAGTTACAGGCTGGAACGTTTGTTTAAGCAGCATGGCCTAGAATATGAAATATATGTAGGTCAGTTTTAGTTTGTAGTTTATGTAACTCGCAATAGTCATAAAATGTTTTCGAGGTTTTAATAACTAGGTTTACCATTACATAGATTGCATAACACCAAAAAATGCTGCTGTAGCTTAAGCTTATAACTAGGTTGACAAATTCGCCGATTATTTAAGTATATCTACAACTGCTACTTTGTCACAAAAATACATACATAGCTTCAAACAGAAACATAATTTCAATTGAAATTTAAAATAGATTTTGATTAGATTCTTGTCAGAGTCACACAATTTTATTCAAAGTTAAACATACATACAAATGTTAATTTTAGGTCGAACTCTAGAGTTCAACAGAGTTATTTTGTTTACACGATTCCTGATTTTTCGATGAGGTCTTCGTTATTCAGAACTGTACTAAATAAAGAAGTGTATGCTTAGGATAAGCTCGGAGGAGTTGTATTGGAATACATAAGTGACTCATCCTCAGCCAGTCAGTTTCCTTCCACTTCCTCATTTCTCCTCAAAACTTTGTACCACACAACTTATTTACATATATGCATTTGCTCTGTCATAACTTGGGAATGCGTGGAATTTAAGATTCTAAACAGATCAGTGCCATCAGCATTTTCACAATGATTTTTTTTGTGGAATCTGATGAAAAGTATTCGAATGATATCTCAGTTATCTACTTGAAACTCACAGTGAAACAAACTATTTAACATGTTAGGATTAAATTAAAATGAAAAATACTTCATAATATATTATGCAACTAAACTAATTACCCGAGCGAAGCACGAGATCAAAACTAGTAAACAGTCACGTTATTAGTGGGGCACAAACAAAGTACAAACAAAAACAACTTTAATTTTATGATCACCAGTAAACATTACGAGAGGCAACTTTACGTCCAACGCAATATTTCGCAAATGAAAGTGACATTAGAAATTTTAGCACGTCACCCGACCCCTTCCCACAAACCATACATACTAAAATGCATATTCTCACATAATTCATCCTATTTCCAGTTGTCAGACACAAACAGATTGTTTATTAGAACTGAACCAGTACATGTGTAGCAGCGGTCTAAAGTCTGCAAAACAATCTGGCTGGATCATTGCAGCAGCAGAATTGATTTACGTAAATCGCTCCGTATCAACTCATCGTTGATGCATATATAAATACACTCGAATGGGTGGAGAGTTGGTGACGTGGGTGCTGACACACAGATATAGAAGCTGAAAGGAGTTATCCAGTTGAAACGCAGTATAATATTAAAAAGCTTAAATTTCTAAGGTGAGGGACCGGGAAATACTCGAATCTAAGACGCGACTCGAAGATACATAAAGTATTAAACAAGTATATTGGAACATGTTAACTATTTTTTAGCAAAATATATTGCCCACAACAATAAGATTAGAATCAAGATGCATAAAATTAATGAAACAATTTTTTCCATTTAAAACACCTCAGAACAACTTGTTGCCTAAGCTGGACATTTCCTTGAAAATATATGTATGCATAATGTTAAAATTTGTTGACAATATCGATGCATATTTCATTGTGATTAAAGTAATACGTATCAAATTTAAGCTTTAGTTTATCGTATTAGGAACGAGTATTGAATGACATTTCTCATTTAATCCATGTGGAGATAACCGTTGTTCAATGCAACGAATGCCACTTGTCATTGCATACATACATATTTCTCTAATCAACGTTATTCAATGTTGCGTTCTACTCTACTGAGGAATTCTAAATACCGCTGACACCGTTTGAAACAACACCTATTTTCTGCACCAATCAAACAGCCTTACGCGAGCTACAAGCACTTTTCGCCACAACTCCTCTTCAACTCTTTGCCATAATCGTGATGGATTAACGCCGAGTGAGAATATTCACAGAGTGCGAAACCTCCCAGTTCCTGATAACATGTTTTGCATTGGTAGAACGGTCGAGAGTGGTGCGAACCATGGCAGAAATTCTGCAGTGTCGCAAGTTGGAGAGATATTGAAAGGGTTGGGGAAAATCTCATGCAAAAACTGCAGCCAGTTCATAACAACAATGCTAAAACTTGGTTGGTGGGGACGTAACCTGGTGGGTTTCCTATCTCACAGTGCGATGGAGTCATGTGCAAGTTGTGTTTTACTCTTTTCATGAAGTAAACCGAGTGAGATTTTCCTTGCCAGAATTGCTTTGGCTCTCGCATCGAAAGCAAGCTTGTAAGGGTTGCTGTTTCCTGTGACTTTTGCATGTGCTGAGATAACTGTAACCAAACTGGTTCATTGTGCTATTACAACAAATTTATCGAGATTTTTAAATCGTGATCTATTTTTAAGAAAATATCTATTTCCAACCAAATTTTAAACGAATTGAAATTGCCTATTGTCCTCTTTAAGAAGAAGAAGACGAAAAAGAAAGTGCCTGGCGAAAGCATCGATAAGGAGAAAAACTTGACAGTATTCTTTACGTGCATTAAATAGTCGAAGTTACTATCGAATTTGAACATAACCTCGGATTTTGGACACATCGTGTTAGAATCTGTACAATTCTACTTCCGCATTAAGTTGTCGTGTGTGTTACAAGAAGTGCTGATTTTTCATGTCTCTAAAAATCTGCACATCTTTTTCTGTGGACTTTTTACCCTGAGAAAAAATTATAATAATGAAGTCAGAGTGGTTAAAGGACTTTGCTGGTAGTTTTTGTATAGAAATATTTTTCGAGGCTGGATGACGCCAAGAAAACATAGGAACCTAAATTAGTGCATATGTAGTTCATGGATTCAAGCTGTTTACCATTACAGAAACGATTTACCGAGAATCAATCTGTACATGGGTTATTTTTATTAGCTAATTTTTTAGTTATTATTTACGAACTGGAGACCGTACTGGAACTTTGATTCTGTTTACATATTGTTTACGGTGGTGCTAATTCACAAAGTGAACAAAATAAGTGCTGAAAATCTGAACGAATTTTAAACTTGGATGTTTATCACTTGGATTTGCATTCTCATTTAGAGTAAAAATCATTACAAATGAGTATTACCAAGAACGCCATGGCTGTTCAATCTGACCACGAAAGTGGGTTTTTCGAGGATGATGAAGTGGAAATAATTCATGAAGAAATTGTAAATCCAGCCACTTTTATACCAAGACCTCAACCCCAGCAGAATAAAGGTATGTGCATTTTTGCAACGTTTTGTTGTTTCAAGTGGTGGGAGCCTTCAAGGATTTAAGAGATAAATAGGTTCATCCCAACCGTCAGTATTACTTTTAGCAGTATGCATATGAACACAATATTTGCACATGCATATGGAGCCCAAGCAGCAGTAATGATAAAAATAATGTAGTACTGAAGGTTTCGCAAAGTGCCTTTCACTTTTGCAGAAAGAAGCCAATCACTGCGTAAAGTAACAGATTTATACCAAGTTGGTTACAAGTAATCAACTCCTCGTGTACGACGAATGCTAGATGGCTCAGCATCCAAAAAAGAGAAGGAAATCCATTTCATTTTGCACGGTATGGTTGGATTCAGCGTATTCTTGTTACTAAACGAAATGAGAGTTAAATGTCTTTGCAACATTCAAAACGTATAACAGCAAGTCGACGCAATACTGTTGGTTTGATTGCATGAAACTGCCGTTACTTTCTGGCCGGTCTTGCTTCGCTGATTTTGGTTGTTCTTAAGCCGTCCGTGGTGGTAGTGGTTTTCTTGTGGAGGTGGTTGTTGTGTGCTCTTTTGCAGTGTCTGTCTTCCACTTTTCAAACCGTAAGCATTCGCCAGCCATATTTGCCAGCTATTCTCAATGTCATCAAACTTCTCTACATTCAATCAACTTTCACAACCTGACGAGCTTTGCTCTTTTCTGCTATGCTCTGATACACAACAAAAGTTGTAGCTTTATTGTGATACGAATTTATTTACTTGCCGTGTGATTCCAACAATACATTTTCTTGTAAATTGTTGAGCTTTAAAAACTTTCTCGACAGATTTCTTCATTGCTGGTTTGAAGGATTTAAGTGTGCAAGCGCGTCTGGATTAAGGCTCCAAAATAGCAATAGCATCATGCCACTTGCATCCATACGTGACGTGTAACTGTACTTTTGATTTAAAGCTATTGCAAAAATATGGTGTATTTTTTTCCTTTTTATATAGCTTAAAACGATGACCATGAGAATATAATGCATGTGCAGTTTTGAGGAAGGTGATTTGATAGCAATTTTGCCTTCACCTTCGGTTACATAAAATATTGATCCATGCCTATCTGCTCAACGCTTTAGCCGTAGGTTCCTCAAGGTAAACGGAGAAATCATTCGGTGTTAAATGGGAATCAATTACCTATGTCTGGAAAATATATATGCATATGCCAATCCACTTACACTCAGGATTCTCAGTCAGTCATATTTATGTTGATAAGGGTGCATAACTAATAAAAACAATAACATTGGTGTAACACGAAGACGGGGCTGGACGTCAAAGAGATTGTAAGCTAGATGGCATAAATTAAATTATTAAAGGTCGGATGAAATGAAATACAATGATCCAAATTTACATCCAATTTCGTCGGAGTCCACCTTAAATTCTGTAGCTTTAAAAATGTAGAAATTTAATTGATTACTGGGGACAATAATGCACTCTCGTTGCTCATTTGCACTCTAGTTTCACAAATTGCACGCCTCTGCAGTACAGAGTAGAACTTGTCGTTTCCGACTTTTATGTGATCGTCATTCTACTAAATATAACAGTTTTGTGGGCGTCATTCTGACGTTCCTCTTTCATTCATACATAAGTAAATACGTAGGCAAATAATTTGAATTTATTTCAAACTGATTGTTTTCGGTGGTTTAATAGGTTTTTGCGAAATATGTACGGCTCAAACCGCAACATTATTACGATTGGTACATTAATTGATGGACTTGCTAGAGAAATACCGGCTCATGGCACACGTTCACCTGGGAGCATTAGATGTACATACATATTCTACCATATTTCATGACTTCCATGTGTATGAACTATACATGAGCACTACGCAAATAGAATGTGAAAGAGATACATTCTCCGCAAGTAAATTAGACCTGCATAATAAGAAGGGACTCTTTTTTGTTGAAATTGATTCGTTTATGGAATTACGAAACTTTACCTCGCTGCTCATCCACGTCCTTTGCCTGACTTTGACTGATGGCTTCCAGAAGAAGAACTTTGTCAATATCTTTCCAGGCGATCGTAGTGCGGCGGAGCTCGCACTGATTTGATAGAGTTTCATTTCAAGATAATGTTGAGAAATTCTAGAATTGGTGGGTAAAGTCTGGGTAGAATTCAATCATTGCCTACTCGACGACATCCACTCAGCATTATGCATATCATCCCACGTGTCATGCCACGACACACTTATGATCAATGTACAATAAGTATCGGTTCACATGCGGCAATGTTATCACATCACACAACAGGGAAAGTCTAGAAATTTCTACATTTGTTTTATCCGTATACATAGGTTTGCATGAAAAAGTGGTGCTGGGTAATGATGATGATAGGCATGAGCTCCTCATATTCTTCTATGTATCATGACAGACCCACGCTATTGGAAGAATCCTTCTTTTATTTTCCTCTCAATTCACACATTTCGAGGGTATTACATGTATCCACATGTCGAAAATGAAATCAATAAAATGTGAAAGTTTGAAATTGATAGGCAATTTCACAACAAATCACAGCATTTCCAGTCTCTTGATTATAATTATACACACTGCTCACAAAGTCAACCCGTTATACATTGGTTGGTGCACTCACCCTGGTAAATGCAGAATTTTGGCCATCAAATCAATGCACTCGAGCTCTTTAACCAATAACGCTGCGAGTTTTGTATTTACTGCTCCACTTCTGAACTAACTTTATCGCAGCTTAGGTTTCTCGTGGAGGAAAAGTGAAAATATCAGCGCATTTTCACTTCCAGAGTTTTATCCCTGTGATTTTTTTAGCTTCTAGAAAAATTAGAATTTTACGATTTTACGATTTCGGAAAATCTCTTGCACTTACGGTAGCCATCTGTATCATGAAAATATAACTTTGTCACAGTAATGACACAAGTATGCATAATTCTGTCGGCCTTACGACAAAGGTAAACAGGTGGGCTGTTAGATTAGATGTGTGTTGAGCAAAGTAAACACGGCATTGTTTAGTTGTGTAAGAAGGTCAACGGATTGGGATTGTTCCGTGAGGACGGCAATTGGCTAACTTTTCGCTGATGAGGCGTGTTTCTGACAAATATTTACGTGACATAGAGAAAAGGAGGATAGAGTTGTATCTGGTTTGCATACATATCTTCCGTCAGTCCATCCATAAGACCACCGCTATACGTGCATAGATCCAATGCAATTATTTTCATGCTGAGTCAATGTATTATAAGATGTCATCCTTTCATAAGATGGAAAGTAGGACCAGAATCCACTTCCTCAAAGGTATTGACTTTTAATTTCGTTGTGTATG